CCTTCGGAAAGAAAATACACAGGTTAATATAGTTTGGGGATATAAATATACGTCAGGCGTGTTTAGAAAGGCATGTGCAAACGCTGTTGTTTGGCACCATGTCCGCAAGTTCAAAGTTCACGATGCTCTGTTTATCATGTTTTTCATGGTCAAAATGGGCGAAATAAATAAATAAAATTCACTTACTTACTTTTCTAAACAATTTATATGGATAGACGTTATGTTAATAAATACCATGGCATCAACTCCTTTTTTTATCATCGTGATCGACATCACGTCAAATGTTATAAAAACAAATTTACAATTTACGAAATTAAGTATCACGTTAATAAACCTGAATGGGGAGCTAGCGTTTTGCAATGACTTACCCGTGGAGAGAGCAATGCAGAAATAAACAAACGACAAAAAAAATAAAAAAATAATCAAATCCCGTTTCCACGGTAACATTGCAATTTGATAATCACCTGTCCGCGTACATTATTTGCTCAGTCAGAAGCCTCTGCAATCGAAGAGGATGTCATCAATTAGCGGACGCAGAACATCACGACAGCAGATGAATTCTACATCTGTAATGGGGCAAATGGACATCTAAACAACTAATGAATTGTACATTTAATCACCATGATGACAGCCGCATTTAGAAAATAGACAGTGGACACGGTGAATCACGACATCGTGGTCGTTATATTTGTACTGCGGCGGAGATCAAAAGGGCATGATTGTTTGAAATTGTTTGATATTAACAACCTAGTAACTTCAATACATTAGTGCCATGTACGGTCGCTTGTCTTCAATGACAGGGATAAGGACTACATTTGTAAAATAGATTCTAAATGACGGAGACAATCATAGCCTAACAAAAGTTTTCGCTTGAAATTAGTACTGAAGTACTACATAACTTCCGATCTCCACTCGTCTCCTCCCGTAACATTGCGGGGTCACACTTCATGGGGATCGCCATGGTATGCCTGGGTATGTCGGGGAGCTTATCCAGTAGATACATAGGTTGTCCTCGTCCGTCAGTTGCATGCATAGACTGCATGCCGTCCCTGTTTCCTTGATGAATTTTAAACATAATCTAAAACATTCGACATAATTTTCACGCTCCCCTGGCGTTAGTCTGTCATACAGACCCTGAAACAAATATATCCAATACAGCCCATGCAAGTCTATTATATTTAGCAAGTCTAGATTTCTGCAGGTGAAGAGAGTTTCTGGGCTCTTTTTTATTATATTTCATAGCTATAATTTAACAACTGTTTTAATCCGTAATTTATGTTCTTTTCAGAGACTAGATGTTAGTCTACCATGGCGTGTTACAAATGCATACACCTTTTAAAACTCTCAAACGTTTTGGAAGCAATGATTCAAATTTGAATTTTTGTTGCTTTTCAATGTTTGCGCTATTATAACAAAATGTTCCAGTCCATTGCATGCAGTGAGAACGGACTTTTATCGGACCAGTGAATTAGTGTCCAGGCTTGAATATTATGACGATGCCGTTCGAGGCACCACGCCAATATGTCGCCTTTGATCATCACATCGTAACGTTGTGTTGGTATTGCAGGGGCATTCAGTACACCACACCACAGCATGGGCTTTTCTTACAGTGTGACCATTTGAAATATTACTGGTATAATGACATATCATGGCAAACAGGTATAGCTCTAGTGTTATTATATATCGTGGGAATCTTGTATAGCCGTGGTATACACATCCTGGTCAACAAGTATGACATTGGTATTATTATATATCGTGGGCATCTAGTATAGCACTGGTATAATGACACATCCTGTCCAACTGTTATAGCGCTGGTATTATTATATATCGTGGGAATCTAGTATAGCCGTGGTATACACATCCTGGTCAACAAGTATAACATTGGTATTATTATATATCGTGGGCATCTAGTATAGCACTGGTATAATGACACATCCTGTCCAACTGTTATAGCGCTGGTATTATTATATATCGTGGGAATCTAGTATAGCCGTGGTATACACATCCTGGTCAACAAGTATAACATTGGTATTATTATATATCGTGGGAATCTAGTATAGCAGTGGTATAATGACACATTCTGGCAAACTGGTATAGCGCTGGTATTATTATATATCGTGGGCATCTAGTATAGCAGTGGTATAATCACACATCCTGGCCAACTGGTATAGCGCTGATGTTATTATATATTGTGGGAATCTAGTATAGCAGTGGTATAATGACATATCCTGGCAAACTGGTATAGCGCTGCTGTTATTATATATCGTGGGCATCTAGTATAGCAGTGGTATAATCACACATTCTGGCAAACTGGTATAGCGCTGGTGTTATTATATATCGTGGGAATCTAATATAGCACTGGTATAATGACACATCCTAGCAAACTGGTATAGCGCTGATGTTATTATATATTATATATCGTGGGCATCTAGTATAGCACTGGTATAATGACGAATCCTGGCCAACTGGTATAGCGCTGGTATTATTATATATCGTGGGCATCTAGTAAAGCAGTGGTATAATCACACATTCTGGCAAACTGGTATAGCGCTGGTGTTATTATATATCGTGGGCATCTAGTATAGCACTGGTATAATAACACATCCTGGCCAACTGGTATAGCGCTGGTGTTATTATATATTGTGGGAATCTAGTATAGCACTGGTATACACATCCTGGTCAACAAGTATAACATTGGTATTATTATATATCGTGGGCATCTAGTATAGCAGTGGTATAATCACACATTCTGGCAAACTTGTATAGCGCTGGTGGTATTATATATTGTGGGCATCTAGTATAGCACTGGTATAATAACACATCCTGGCCAACTGGTATAGCGCTGATGTTATTATATATCGTGGGCATCTAGTATAGCAGTGGTATAATCACACATCCTGGCCAACTGGTATAGCGCTGATGTTATTATATATTGTGGGCATCTAGTATAGCAGTGGTATAATCACACATTCTGGCAAACTGGTATAGCGCTGGTGTTATTATATATCGTGGGAATCTAATATAGCACTGGTATAATGACACATCCTAGCAAACTGGTATAGCGCTGATGTTATTATATATTATATATCGTGGGCATCTAGTATAGCACTGGTATAATGACACATCCTGGCCAACTGGTATAGCGCTGGTGTTATTATATTATCGTGGGCACCTAGTATAGCAGTGGTATTATGACACACCCTGGTCAACAAGTATAGCATCGATATTATTATATATCATGGGAATCTAGTATAGCACTGGTATTATGACACACCCTGGCCAACAGGCTTTAGCACTGGTATTATTATATATCGTGGGAATCTGGTATAGCACTGGTATTATGGCACACCCTGGTCAACAGGTATAGCACTGATATTATTATACATCTTGGGTGTCTGGTATAAATCACTGGTATTATGACACATCGAGGGTATCCAGTATATATCTCTGGTATTATGACACATCGTGAACAACTGGCATATCACTGTTATTATGGTGCATCGTGGGTATCCAGAAAACACGTTCCGCTAACAATGTTAATAATAATAATATGAATATTTCCTTTTTTCTTTTTTCTTACGTGTTTGTTTTCTTATCTATCGTGTAGTTGTCCGATTTTCGATCACGAACGTTGATACTAGACTTAATTTCGTTTATCCGACATACTCGTTAATTCGACTTAATCATATGCAACCAACCAGGTCGGATTAACGGGACTTGACTGTATATCACTAGTATTATGATATATCGTGGGTATCTGGTATATCACTAGGATTATGATACATGGTGGTATAAATTATGTATTTAATATCTAATCATTTTGGCATGGATGGGTGTTTGGTTAATATATCATGAGTACTGGGTAGTGAGCCCAAAGTATGCTCAGATTTTAGTTTGATATCTTTCACATTTGTGCACTCACCCGGATGACTGCGTGATTGTTGCCACACAGCCCATGCCTGTATATCTGCACTGGGTCACAAAATAGCGAGGATTGGTGGGGTCTTTAGTCTTCATGCTTGTTATATGTATGTGGGTGTTTGTGTGCATTGAAGGCGACTACTTCACTTTTGTGGTTAGCGTCTCGTTTATGCGTGTTTATGTGTACGACTGCCAAAGTTCACTCGGTGGTATGATTGTATTCGCATGAACGTACACAGGTGAAGAAACGTATGGCTGTAAATATATACATGCATGTGAAAATGTACATGACTTATGTGTACTTGTATCTCATCAGAGGAGAAAAGAGAGAGAGAGAAAGTAAGGTGTGTGTGAGAGTGTGAGTGTGAGAGTGTGAGTGTGAGAGTGTGTGTGTGTGTGTGTGTGTGTGTGTGTGTGTGTGTGTGTGTGTGTGTGTGTGTGTGTGTGTGTGTGTGTGTGTGTGTGTGTGAGTGAGTGAGTATGGTTTTACGCCGCTTTTAGCAATATTCCAGCAATATCACGACGGGGGACACCAGAAATGGTCTCTCTCTCTCTCTCTCTCTCTCTCTCTCTCTCTCTCTCTCTATCTCTCTCTCTCTCTCTCTCTCTGTGTGCGCGCGCGAGATTTACTCAATGTAACAGGAGTTTTTTTCGGAGAAAAGACTTACCAATTATATAAAATGAGTAACAGAATATGAGCGCGAGTAACGAGGATGGAATTAATAAAGGAGAGGAGTATATATGAATGAGAGGCGGTTGGGGGAGTTGGGAGGGGGGGTCGGTGAAAGGAGAAAAATCAGGGAAGATTGCAATGGATTGAGTGAGAGGGAAAACGAGTTATAAATAATCAGAAATCGCATTCAACATTTCATGCTATTCACTTGGTAGATATAAATCAAACAGTTAAATGGACGGGTGTTACAAGTTTGCTGAACACTTCAATGATATTTTTTTTCATGAATCTAACACTCTCGAGAACATACAGGCTCATATCGGGGTGAGCATATACATTCGTAAAAAACAAAACATATTCATGTCTGTATAACTAACTATAACACAAGTAATAACAAAACACTAACCTCTTCCAGCCTGACGACGGTGTGGGCCACCTGAATATCCTCTAGGTGTATGCCAGGGCTTAAACTGTGTAATACTCAAGACCGATTCAGCGCTCAACGCCATACCGTTGTCACGTGACAACACGGTCAGGCCGTTCAATCCGTCAATACCACAATGCCGCGATAATAGATATGGCGACTTAGGTACGACGTCTGTTGCTATTCTCTCCGTCGCTTATATCGTCAAAGCCGCGCCCGTGACGGGATATGTATATAACAGAGCGATCCTGCACTGAAAAACACATTGCTACCAATAGAACTAAACAGCCTGTCGATTAGCACCCCCGCTAACGCGCATGCACGTTATGGGGACAAACGGCTTCCATTGTGGATGGTTATTTGGACGGGTTTAACGGATTGTTGTGCAAAGATTCTAAGAGTGTTTATTAAGCACTTGTCACCTGCCATGTTCCATTGGCGGCCTACTATTGATAAAGCATTAGGACAGACACATGACTGAGTCCGCAGAGACAAAAGACTAAGGAGAAAATCATTCTGAAAACGGCCTAATTCTGACCCCTTTAAAGCCGAGTGACGTCGGTTTCGTCGTTTGTATACTACCCAACTTATGAAAGGGATATTTTTATATTTCCGAGAAACACCGAAGTGATTACAAGCCGAAGTTAGAAGATATAGAACATATATGCTTACATTTATCAATATCCTTATCGAAATATAAGATTGGGTGAATTTTAGACTTGTTATGTTTTAGGATATCACCTTTTAAAAAAAAACCTGGTCCATTAATAAGGTCAATACGAATCATCCCTGCCGGTACCCGTGAAGATCCGAGTTAGAATTGTCTTCAACAAAGCATGATTGTCTAAAGGGGCGACTAAGGGGATCGGGTGGACAGGCTCACTGACTTTGTTGATGCATGGCATTGTATCCCAATTGCGTAGATTCATTCTCATGATATCTGTCACTGGATTGTCTGGTTCAGACTCGATTATATACAGACCGCCGTCACATATTGCTGCGTACGGCGTAAAAACAAACAAACAAACAAACTCTTGAAATCACACATAAAATAAACGTAAAATGAATATATTAATGATACCCCACCGCCCCCGAGACGACGCAGGTGAACCCATGTTGACGAAGGCATAACCTTGCTTGACCAAAGACTAGACGTTAACTCATTTACGTCATACTTCGGTTGACGTAAGTTGCATACCTACTGAAGCCCTGGGGTGCGGAGGGGCGGTGGGGTATCCGAGTGGTTAAAGCGTTCGCTTGTCATACCGAAGACCCGGGTTCGATTCCCCACATGGATGCAAAGTGTGAAGCCAATTTCTGGTGTCTCCGCCGTGATATTGCGGGAATATCGCTAAAAAGCGGCGTAAAATCATACTCACTCACCTGGGTCGTCTGGGTTTCGAAATCGGACGCAGGCTGTAATTCCTCTTTGATCGTTGGTTATTCTTTAAATAAAATCCATAAGGGCACTGACGTAGAATTGTGATTTTTGCTTCAAGGTGATTGGCTAGTTCATGTAAGTTTTATTGTGGAAAGTCGCCCATATCGACGCATTGTCAGTAACGTCAACCGTGAACATGACGTCAACCATTTTTCATTGTGTCACATACGGTTTTATGTAATTTCGTTTGCTTGACTTCACGGGGGTTGGCTGAAAAGTTCTGATGCATAGTACATCCTTAACAGTTTGCATGTAAGTACAATACATGCCATGCTAAAAGGCAGGATTTTAACCAAATATACAACCAGTCAGCATATTTCTTCAGGCATCAAAGTGACTTGATGAAAATGGACGAAATTGGCCACCGCGCTGTCATCAAGCATCTCCCATTGAAAGGGCCAACCCCAATAGCCATCCAGCGGACACGGTGTCAACTTTAGGGTATGATGCTCCTTCCTTTGAATTTTTTGATTGGCATTACTTAGAAAATGACGGACGACAAAGTAGACACACTTTTATGGGTAACAACGCTTGCTTGACAGCGGTATAAGGATCTATAGAGAAAATTCACTTTTACAGTATTAAAGAAGTTGTTATCCATAAATTGTGTCTTGCTTGACAACGGTATAATGATCTATACCGAAACGTCACCTTTACAGTAAATAAAAAAAGTTGTTATCCATAAATTGTGTCTTGCTTGACAACGACATAAGAATCTATAGAGAAACGTCACCTTTACAGTAAATAAAGAAGTTGTTATCCATAAATTGTGTCTTGCTTGACAACGATATAAGGATCTATAGAGAAACGTCACCTTTACAGTAAATAAAGAAGTTGTTATCCATAAATTGTGTCTTGCTTTACAACGATATAAGGATCTATAGAGAAACGTCACCTTTACAGTAAATAAAGAAGTTGTTATCCATAAATTGTGTCTTGCTTGACAACGGTATAAGGATCTATACGGAAACGTCGCCTTTAGCAAATAAAGAAGTTGTTATCCATAAATTGTGTCTTGCTTGACAACGGTATAAGGCTCTATACGGAAACGTCGCCTTTAGCAAATAAAGAAGTTGTTATCCGTAAATTGTGTCTTGCTTGACAACGGTATAAGGCTCTATACGGAAACGTCGCCTTTAAACAAATAAAGAAGTTGTTATCCATAAATTGTGTCTTGCTTGACAACGGTATAAGGCTCTATACGGAAACGTCGCCTTTAAGCAAATAAAGAAGTTGTTATCCATAAATTGTGTCTTGCTTGACAACGGTATAAGGCTCTATACGGAAACGTCGCCTTTAGCAAATAAAGAAGTTGTTATCCGTAAATTGTGTCTTGCTTGACAACGGTATAAGGCTCTATACGGAAACGTCGCCTTTAAGCAAATAAAGAAGTTGTTATCCGTAAATTGTGTCTTGCTTGACAACGGTATAAGGCTCTATACGGAAACGTCGCCTTTAAGCAAATAAAGAAGTTGTTATCCATAAATTGTGTCTTGCTTGACAACGGTATAAGGCTCTATACGGAAACGTCGCCTTTAAGCAAATAAAGAAGTTGTTATCCATAATTGTGTCTTGCTTGACAACGGTATAAGGCTCTATACGGAAACGTCGCCTTTAAGCAAATAAAGAAGTTGTTATCCGTAAATTGTGTCTGCTCTGGCTCCTTCCATTGTCAGTCAAAAGATGGGAAGCGGAGTTCAAGAGGGGAAGATAGATGTGGGTGGTGGGGGACTTAGCACACGTCACACAGCCAATACAGTAGCCATCTGTCATGAGAGAGAGGAAAACGTGTTTTCAAGGCTTCTGACCCTCATGATCAGAAACGCTCGAGGTCAACCATCTCGCCAGAAAATTTACGTCGTTTTGAAGCAGACACAGCTGATTTTGTTGAGCGACTTGTAACCATGGGTATTATTGGTCTTGGGTTCACCACTTTTAACCATAGACTAAAAAACAGTCAAGGCAGTGGAAACATCTAACTTCTCCTACTCTGAAGAAGGTGAAGTCTATTCCATCATTGGATTTCTGGAATTCCACAGGAATCCTACTGGTGGTCTACTTCCCGAAAGGTCAGATCATTAATGGCTAATATCATGCTACTCTGCTGAGGCGAGTGCGTGAGAATATCAAGAAAACTTCACTAAAGGTGTGTTGTTCCACCAGGACAAAACACATGTGCACAAATCTGTTATCGATCGGTCTATCTCTTAAAATGATGTCTATCTCTTATGATGAGTTCCCCGTTAAAAAGTGAACTGATGCCGAACCCTCTTCCAACCACACATGTGACGTAATATGCCAGGCTGATATTACCACTTTGAATGGGCATCGATTTCAGCCCGGGTGGCAAGAAACTTAGAGTTACGTCCCTTGGTGCGTCGTCTGCTCGGCTCAGTTTCCCGTGACAATGTCTTCAAAACAACATGAACATGTTTTTACGGACATACAGGAATGTGAGATGTTTATGAATGGATACATTTTACAATTTGATGTTATGATATATGATAAAAAGCCCTCGGGCTGATATGAAGACCTCGGGTTGATATGGGAAATGACATGAAAACTACCATATAATAACATCAGCCAGTTGGTTCGCAGCAGACTCGTTGGTTGTGATCATGCTATCGCCCACCGGTTTGTGTGATCAGATTAATTAGTTTCAGGACGGCTAAATAAAGATATACACCTAACTGCTTCGTGAACAACATGCAGTCCACACCTCAGAAATCGATCTACAAAAGCCAGCTTTGACATATATGACACTTTGTCGGCAAAGGTAATCACCGTAGACACTTCATGCCCTGGGGCAGGAGTTCATGAATCACTCTTTGTGCAAACTTCAGGTTAGGTGGTGTTTCTCATAGGCCTATACGTAGCTCATGTAACGTGCACACGGTGAGTGTTTATGCATTGAATAAAGTAGGATCTGGCCATGCACTCAAAGGGCTGGGTACTTAAGCATAAGAGGCAGTTTCGATTTTGCAAGATTCCTGGGGTTAATATGTTAAAGTACGTGTCGTATGGTTCATACATGTAAATGTGATCAATAATAGGCCACGGGTGTTCCTTTCTTGCTAAAGACGTGCGTAATCTGTTATTCTGTCAGCAAAATAAGATACGAAATGAAAACAGAAGTTAGTCAGCTGAGATCACCCTCCCCCCACCCCCACCCCCCCACCCCAAAAAAAAAGAAAAAAAAAGAAAAAGAAAAAAAGAACGATTTTCTATCAAGGAGTCCTGTATGTTACCACCTAACGACGCCACTTTGAAATATCGTATGCGGTATTGATATTCTAACGAAACATTTGTTTTTGTACACAATGTGACATACTGTTTTTCAAATACACAAAACGGACATCGATTATGGAATGACGTTTTTTAACTGTGGAATGGAAAAAGGTATTCAAATACGTTTCAATTTCTGTCTCTGCGTCTTTGCATCACATGATGCGAACATCTGGATCATTTAGGGTAACATACATTGTTTTTGTAATGGTATCCCTGGTATCTTAGACATACATCATATTGAGATCAGTATAAAAGGGGTGGTTCTTTACTTTTCCCAAGTGTATCTATGATACACAAAAGAGGGTCTTACTATCCATGAAAGGTATCCTCCCCATGTTGTGTTTATTCAAATCACAAGGTCATGGTTGTTATTCTGTGAAAAGGTTATTTATGCTTAATGGAAAACTTGTCTCAGCTCCTAGTCAAGCCTGAGGAGTCCTAGCTAGAATGAGTCCCAAATACACCACACTTGTGCACCAAAGTGAGCATAGAATGGTCCCAATATATGAACTGCTATCATACTCTGAAGATGTAAATCGTTTTGTGTGCTATTAACCACTAGTGCCCCCACCTGAGATAGCTGCAACATTGGTGACTGCGGCATAAAACGACATACACTCACCAACGCGTATTGTTCACGACATGTCCACGAAGCTCCCGTAAAATGTTAAATTATTTTATTGCTGTTCAATGTACAGTAACAATGTGGTTTTCCACAAAGGAATTCCTAGTAATGCTGTTTATATTTATAGAACATGGACAAGACAAAAGTAGAAACCGACAATTGTCATTTTTGTATTGTTATGAAATTATTCAATGATTTGTTTATATGACATCAACTCAGTGTGGCAAAGCATTGGCATAAAGCAAGAAATTTTGAACAACGGAAAGTTATGCTAAACAATATGTATGACGTCTAGTTAAAGTAATCCTACTATAGCACAGAATACACATTGTCAAATGTTTCCAAACAAACACAAGTAAACAAAGTTAATATAAAACATCAACACAATAGAATAATCAGTCTCGATTATCTGCTCAAACAAAGTGTTTCTGAACATTCAAACATTTGGATCTGCATTCATCAGATTTTCACCACACATAATTTCAAATTTATCCATGGATTGAATTTGAAGAGGTTTTTCAAAGTAATTAGGCATCAAAGTTTCAAATTTAGTATTGGCACTAATTTCATCTGAAAAAAAACCTAATCTGAATCTTGTTGAGTTGTATTGCACAAATGTGGAATTATAAGGAAACGCATATGTGTCTCATAGCAATAAAGAAAACGTTTTGGAAGTGTTCCTGAGGTTGATAAAAACACACTCCAACATAAATGAATATTAACAAACTAACTAACTTACACTTAAAAAAAATAAAAAGGCTTCCAAAGTGGTCTCACTTTTCAGAGAGATTGCAATATTCTGATCAGCATTGACAGGCCACCCTTACAACAGGACAAAGAACAATAAGCTGATGTGGTGAGAGAAAATAAACCTTAGATACATCAAGCTGCATGACAGATGCCTGGCAAACAAGTTACAATACACCCCTGACCCCCGACCCCCGACCCCCGCCCCCCTCTTTTCAGGCTGCTCCAGCTCCCAGCCTCCACCCCTGTGTGATGTATGGGGTTCAGAAAGCCCTTCTAACAGCTGCTAGGGCCTCCTTGCACAAGACATCCAATCCTCCATCTCCACCTGGATGCAGAGATAATTACATAGTAAGCATGAGTGAGGGAAACTGAATTAACAATGCTTTAAACATTTTTCAGTCCTAACATAGCCTGACATTAATATAAGAAAATCTGAAAGAGACACAGATCTTAGATGTTTACCACTTTGTCATAAACCACTGACAGGGCATATGTAGACATATCAAGGTTCACAATCAGAGAATGATCTTGGATTGAAACTAAGACCAGTTGATCCTGGCCAAGGGGACACAACTCTGCACAGTAATTACTTGCCATTAGATCAGTCAGTCAAACATGAAGGATGGAAACAACACTGTCTTTCAGTAAGAGATAAATACCCCTTGACTGTTTGGATGAAATAAAGATTTAAGATTGACTTATTAAAAAGTACAAATATTAGTGGGCATTATAACCAAAAGAATCTTATTCTCTCAGAGAATCAAAACATGCACAACACTGACTTTATTGTAACCTACATTCATGTTTTGGATATATTAGTTTTTAAGAATATTTTGTTGTTGTTGCACTTTGGTACAGGGTTGCACAAGGTTACATTTTACATGTAAACTCCAAAGATAACATGACATCAGATAGTAAGTAGGTTATGACACATTGACCAGAATTTATAAAAGTAAAATTCTGGAACTAAACAGGCCAAAGATGGATGTACATTTTACATGGTCATGGTATATTATGACAGAGACCATGTACTCTGATTATGACTTGTTCAATGCTTACAGATGGCAATTCTGACTTTATACCAAGGTTTCAAAACACTGAAACACATGCATTTTCAACAAAACCATTTTTCTTTCCTATGTTTTGAATAGAAAACTGTCTTATAGCATGAAGAATAATTTTGCAATTCTAAAAGATATTTTGCAGTATCATTTGGCAAAATGTGTTACTGAATTAATTTTTTTTGATGCAGTAGCATCCATCAGGGACTGCAGGAGGAGACTTACCATAGTCCAAATCTCGGATGTCACATTTGTAAACTTGTTCTCCATTTACAAAAATGTTCACTGTGTTGCGGTCATCTATCTGGACCATTTCACTGCTGTGTCCATCATTTCTCAATACAGCTGAAACATGTAGTGAACATAACGTGAAGTTGATGACAGGAAACTGATCCAGTAACTTTAGCCTTCACATGATACAAATCATGATGCTGAATTATTCAACTTGTTTCACAGTGGGGAGTAAAGTAGACCTCTGTACCCTGCTTGCGGTTGACAGTAATGGGAGTCAGGGGTCACAATGGGATGTATTGTGTCAGTTAGACTTGCAAAAGTCTCTAAAAATATTATTAAAAAAGCATAAACAGTTTTATCTGAAAAGAATCATCAAATTATTTTGTTTCTATTAACTTGATTGAGACTTGTTAAATATGTCTCTATTTCAGGGAACACAACCAAGCTATAGGTAATTGGGTGGGTATGGACCTCATGGGCGGATACAGCTTTTTTGAAAAGGGAGGAGTGCACAATTAAGATCTATTTATTGTCTTTGGTGGTAATTTATAAAGAAATAAAGACCTGACCAGTAAATGATTATGGACAGACACACATGCTGATTTCAATGGTGCCACAGTATCTATAAAAAAAATACCCCCACAGTATATACATAAACAGTATCCTCAAAGTGTATATGTGAACAATATCCCCACAGTGTAAAGATGTATTTGTAAAAACAAAATTATAAAAAAAAGGCAAAAACATTTTCAAGGAGCACCTTTAGAATACAGTACCACAACTTCTCGTGAGGACGATCTCTGCCATAGGTCACATGTCTCAAAGACAAGCAACCAGTTTTTGTGAGAATCCGTCGGACGTGAACTCACGACCTTCGGATTGTAAGCCTGACAGCTAACCGACTGAGCTACGTCCACACTGTGAAAGAAAGTGCAAATTTACCTAGCCGTGCCTACAAAGTTACGAAACTGAACGAAAAGGGTGGAATAGGTGATGGACACTTACGAAGGTTATTGGTAGGCATGGTGTCTCGTGACTTTAGTCTACGGACACTTACGAATGATCCCCATGCCATTTGGCACACTCGTCCCATTCCCTAATCTACAAGATAACGAATTGTGAGGAATGAACCGATATGGCGCGAACTGAAAACAGCTCCAGGCGTCAGTCGTCGAACTCGCGAGTATGCGTGAATGACATGGTATTTAATAATTAGTCGGGTGGATTTTGTGACAGAAAAGTGTGGTAGGGAACACTGTAAGGATGATGTGGATAATAGTAAGGAACGAGGGAGGCATGAGCATGGCTAGTGACCAGACAACAGAGAGTTTGCTTTAGAATCAGTACTGAAAAAATGTAGCTGGTGAAATTGGCTTTTGTGAATGTTCCAGGAGTTTCCAGTAGCCAAAATATATTCGACACAAAACCATTTCATCCTTTTTACTCGATGTTTTTGTGTCAAGAATATTAGGAGCTGCTATTAGAATCTATAATAGCCACTAAACGGGTACCTAACCCAAATGATCATAAAGGGATGATTGATCCTAAAGGGGAGCCAAGGGCTTAGGATAGAGTTTGTGTAATCTAATAGCCACTGAACGGGTACCTAACCCTAATGATTTTTAAGGGGTGATTGATTGTAAAGGGGATCCAAGGGCTAAGGATGGAGTTTGGGGTAACCTACCCTAACACTGGCGACATTTGGATGTGTTCAGCGCCAATATAATATCCCTAATAAACTGCATTCTTGTGCATAATAATGAAAATTAATGAACCGAAAAAATAATATATGAATATTAGTTACCATTTATAACCATTTTAGCCACTTGAAATAAGAGAAAAACAAAATAAAAAACATATAAAAAATAAAAGTGGTTTCGTAAACTAGCACTTGCTATAAAATGTACCACCGCAGGCAATATTTAGTAAACAAATATTCAAAACTCTCAACACTGCTGGGCGTATTCAATGACATTGTGTGTAGAGATGATAGTTCACTGGGAGGAGCTTATGCACACTCGATGACCCCTGATGTCACAGGGCATTGTTTACCCGGTGTGAGTTGCAACAAAATACATTGTACGACAAATTACGTCATAGGGTATTGTCACGTGTTTGAAAAGTTTGTGGTACTGTATTCTAAAGGTAGGCCTCAGATTTCCTACAGAACACTGGAATGATGTTAGTACAGCTGTAGAGCAGTGTCACTGTACACTACATTGTGTGGTCCAGGCTAAGACAGCTGTTGTGTTGCTGGAAACAGTTCTGTGATATGGTAAAAGTAAAACAACTTTCATTTACTCATCCACTGACTGAAACGACACATTTGGGGATATAATGAAACAATGGTGAATCTAGGATACTCACTACGTAGACCTTCCAGTCTAGATTCTTTGTGGTCAACTATCCCACAGGCCTCGTAAGGGCCATAATGAATAAACACTTTGGCATGGGCTGGCATTTTCTGAAAATAACATTGGAATAAAAATATGAAATTGAAAATGTTACATCAGATTTACATTTATATACTTATTCTACCTCACACTATTTTGCCTTTCTTTTCACTTCATCAACAAACATATAACACATTGAAATAAACATCTAAAACAATACTCACAAACGTTTGTCACTTTACAACCTAAAACAGCAGGCAGCTCTAGTTTCTAAGGAAGCTTGTCAGACTCGCACTTAATGAACTGACAACTTCCGGTTTGTTGTCGTGAATTGTATCTTTCCAGTAAAATATCACGCTCGCTATTATTTATTTACACATAATTTCAATGTCTTTTAATATCATGTGTAATGGTCTGACATTCAATAAGAATTGTTTATAGGATATTGCGTATTATATTTCCGTTAACGCGGTCCTTCAAAATGGCGTCGAGGAGACTTTTTCGTCAGCTTCAGAAAGCGCAGAAATCAATTTTGAGGTAATTAGCCTAACAATAAAAGTTTGTTTGTTGAATTACAGTGACAGCTTGTGTGCACATATATCGTGAATGTGCCCTGTCATGGTACGCTTCACGACTAAGGCAAAAACTTGAATAATCGGTGCTGTAGTTCAGACTCTCTTCTTATCCTCTTCTGTTCATGTCACTCTTCAGCTATTCAGCCAAACATGATCGGCCAAGGTTAGCGGAGAGCCGCGAAGCGGTCCGATGTAGGGCCATGCCCTGAAAGTTGGACCCCATCGCGGCTCTCGGCTACCCAAAGCCAAGGTCTAACATGTGTCTAACAGTGTCTAACATTTAAAATTAGGCGTGAATGTGAGGCATAATAGCAAAACATGTTTGTCAAATACTGTGTGTGCATGCTTTGTGAAAATGCTGTCAATGATCACATATAAACGGTGGGGGATGATAAAAGGTAGCAGTTTACTCAAATTTCTGAGTGCAGCGAGGCACATTGTCATGATACAGGAATCACACTTGCATGACATTGACATTGATTAATAGCTCATTGAAAGTCCATTTCCATTTATACATTAAAAGATGACTATTATAGCTTTTTCACCCTTTTAGTATCATCTTCAGTTTTACAATGATGCAATTATTATCACTTAATTGCTCATAAGCGCGATAAAAAAAATGTGTGTTTTTTTTTTAAACTAATACTTTTTGAACTTATCCTATCTCACAATATGCATTTCTTCCTTCTCCTTTCAATCCTTGAGTGGAAACATCCTAAAACAAAGTTTCCAGCTTCTAAAAATATTTTGCCGGAACACCCCTCGCATAATCATATTCACCATCCAAACAAATGGGTCACTCACTACAATCCCATGCGCAGTGACCTAAGTAGTTTGATCACCCAAAGGCGTACATATGTATGTCTTGGGATCACCTGACACCCTATGCCACATCATTCTCTTTTTCATCACCACTGTGGAGACATTTAGTAGAGAATAGATTTTCTTTTTCTTAAAAAGAGTTTCCTCTTATTTGCTTCAACTTTTATACCATGGGAACAGATCAGTATAAGTGCCCAGCTTGCATGAAGTGCCTCGTCTTTTCATCTTGCAATCCACATAAACTTTGCAGTGACTGTCGTGGAGTTAGTAAACCTGGTCACCGATGTTCCTATTGTTCTCAGAAGAAGCTCTTCCTAATTACTTGCGTAAATGCCAGAAACATTCCATCGATAAAAGAAGCTTTGACGTGTCACTGCTAAAGCAACTGTCCTTTCCTTTGTCAAGTCAACTGTCAAGCAACTGCCGAAGTCTACCATCACATTTCCTTGGTTGAAGATGATGTGGTCTCCGACAGTTTTCCTCATTAAGAAATTCCTTAAAAAAAACATACCTTCATCACGTAAAAGTGCACCGCAAAGTCCCTGTTACCTATATTGGACAAACACACTGTTTTGGCTATAGACAACATGGACCCGTCTACAGTATTGAGTAACCCCTATGGCATTCTTCAACCATCAGCTGAAAGTTGCCTATATTCACCTCCATGGGATAGCACAGTTTTACCTGAGGAAGTCGTGTCATATTCTACAGCCTCTCTACAGGTTCTGCCGGTACTATTGCCCCGGTCTGGTATTGACACTTGACACACGATCTACTCGTCACCTACGAAGAAAGGAAGAAGACCAACTTAGTCGCTCAAAAGATCGACATGGGAATAATTGCTGATCCAAGGAGAGACAATCAAGGGATTGACAGCCAGAGAAGTGACACAAGGGTTGACATTCGTATGATCGACATTCAAGGGTCAACATTGCAGAGATCAATGTTCTAAGGATCGACATTCTTCAGATTGAATTTCTGGGAATCGACTGTCAGCAGATCGACTTCATTCCATGAAGAGGAAGTCACAGAGTGATCGACGTCTCACAATGATGATTACTCTGACTCTACTGATCGTCATCACTCAGCGGATCAACTCTGCAACCAAGAGCATGGTCTTTTCTAGTTCTGCCAACCACCATACACGATCTTCCGGCCCTCAACGTCGCCCTTATCAACATTCCTCCTGGGGCAAAAGTACTTACAGAGATCAAGGCTGGGGTCGACACCCCTCTCCCTCAGATCAATATCAACACATGCTCTATTATCCCTTAAAGCTTTGCCTAGCTGTTATGGGGATCATCGATACCCCTTTTACCCAGACTACAGGTAGATGTCAGAATATTATTGTTATACACCACCACAAGAATGACATCAGGATTGACATCTTCAGTTGGATTGACATCGACCCTCTTCTCACCCTCATTCTACCTCCCAGGGTGAAGCATCTGGACCATCACTTCCGCAGTTGATCGGATTCTCTGTCACCTGCTCCTGCACCTTGACCTCCTGTCATGAACTCTGCCCTTAATCACTTTGTGGGATCATTGAGATTAGCCTGCCCTATCGACCTCAGACTTTGAATTGCTTCTACTGTCCTTGACTGCGCTCTTCCAACAGTGCACCAGGCAGTCGACCCAACCACCATTATAGAGACTGATATACTCCATTGCTACATATACAGAGCTAGACAGGGATATTGTGATTCTTAATCCTAAGCGCTCATCCAACACTTCTATCATCGAAGACTGGGAACTGGCCCATCTAGACGTTACCATCTGGCGCACTGGTATCTACCATACTGTTGGCTACTGAGGCGGTAGCAATGTCCGTGGCCCATGCGAAACCATCAGAAGAAGCTCACATCAGAGGAGCCCTGGTGCTTATACATGACAAGTTCCGGGATGTTTGGACTTGATCACACATCTTTTAGGGGCCGTTCCCAACCTACGTCGCCACGGCCACCTCAAATACTGCCCTTGGTAAATCACCATAATGTCACTTATACCAGGAAGTTACTTAACATGTCATCAAAGAAACACCTTCAGGTTTCAATCTACCTCCACCCCCTACAGAAACAAGGGATCCCTTGGTTTTCAAATAGTATTGCAGCAAACCCTAAGAACTCTGGGATCACTGTTCTTTTTTAACACTGCAGTAACCATGTATGGATTGTCCTTGATGCTTGAATTCAAGCATGTGTTAAACATTCAACCTTATCATAGTAATTGACTCAACTGGTATGACATCAGATATCACTTCCGTCATCTTTTAATTTGCCAGGCAGAAAGGAGATCATCCTACTGTTCATTTTACATGAATTAGAGATTTAAAGATTCGGAATATGAAACCTATACATTTTTCAAATATGAAAAAGTCATGCTGAGCAAAATGACTGGTACAGACCATTGCATTAGAAACTCAGTATGTTTTTCTCTCAATTCATGTATTCAGAATGAAAGACATGATAGTCTTGACTGGGGAGTGATGTACTCTGTATCATCACTTTCTCTCAATAATTCCAGACCCATGAAGATCCGGGTTAGAATAGGTCTTCAGCAACCCATGCCTTTAAGAGGCGACTAACAGGATTGGTATTTCTGACGTGGTAGATGCATGTCATCATATCCCAATTGCGTGCATCAATGCTCATGATATCAATCACTCGATTGTCTGGACCAGACTTGATTATTTCCAGACAGCCATCATTTTGCTTGAATATTGCTGAGTGTTGCGTTAAACAACAAGCAAACAATAATGCCATTGGTCTTTACCATGTATACTTAACTCAGACATATCAGTAAAAAATACAACTGCTTCCAAGCCTTCATGCAAAAGATGAATCTTCATGGTCATAGTCTAATCACTGGTACCCATCTAAACATGAGAAATGCTGCATGAAAAAAGGATTATTTCTTCTTGGAATTGCAGAAATTGAGTGCTGAAAAAGGATCTAACCATTTCTAACACTATAACTGATAATATAGTGATATCTTGATTTTTTTTAAGGTGCTTGGTTTGTTGATGTGATAGTTCTTGCTGTGTATGTTTCAGTCCCGCACCAGTGTCTGTGAGCTTTGTGACAACACGATGTCTCTGTCAACACATCCAGCGCAACACAGGCTCAAATCTCTTTACCAGACACAGGCCTGTTTGGGGCACACAACAAGGTAAGGAAACAATAGTCATAACTCATTCAACAGCAACATATTCTTAGTCTATGATGTCTTTTCTTTAGTGATATACTTTGGGTGTTTACCATGCCTGAAAATCATTTGCCCTGTCTCCAGCCAGGACCATTACATTGGCTATTCCTAACCATCACTGGAGGTCCTGGTTCATGATCATTAATGTTTGTGACATAAGATGTACCCTACACACGTGACAAAGTCGATTTGACTGTTGAACAAGTAAAGTTTTGCACTAAAGTTCACCATGGACAAGGTGAAAATTCTACAGAAACTAAGTGAAATATATACACACTAGTATTTAAACACATTGTATATCACTCAATTGTCTCATTTGAGTGCAGTTTAGGATAGATTTTAAAAAACTTATGCATATTAGTCTTTCTAAATATGTTAAGTATTTAAGGTTTTCAATTTGTTGAAAACATTTGGGACTTGTGATTATTAGATTAACTGGTACTTTTACTGTCAGTCCACCGCTCTCATTTAACACTGATGACCACAGAATTAAAAAAGCAAGTGGGTCAGGCTCGCTCATAGTCATCGATCCCAATTGCGTGGATTGATGCTCATGATGTCAATCACTGGATTGTCTGGTCCAGACTCGATTATTTACAGACCGCCGTCATATAGCTGGAATATTGCTGAGTGCGGCGTAAAACAACAACCAACCAACCAATAAGCAAGTTGAAACAGATTGTGCCAATAAACATTATAGAGTAGCTTTCAAGTAGTGAACTCACAACCTATACCACAATTAGGCATGTAACTGAAAAAGACTATATGTATCATCATGATCATATTCGTGAGGGGAGACCCATGAAGATGAGGGTTAGAACTACATCAGCAACCCATGTTTGCCATAAGAGGCGACCATGCTTGTTGTAAGAGGCGACAAACAGGATCATGTAGTCAGGCTCGCTGACTTGGTTGATGCATGTCATCGTATCCCAATTGCGTGGATTGATGCTCATGATGTCAATCACTGGATTATCTGGTCCGGACTTGATTATTTACAGACTGCCCATCATACAGCTGGAATATTGCTGAGTGTGGCATTAAACAACAAACAAGCATACACAAGATGATGCTTATGGTATCATATCAATCATAGGTTTCTAAGAATGTTAATAATTTGTTTGGAATTTTTCAGCTCGGACAATGTTCATCCAGACTCAAGAGACACCTAATCCTAACAGCCTCAAGTTTATTCCTGGTGTGACAGTGCTGGAGTCTGGAACTTTCGACTTTCCTAACCCCCAGTCAGCCTACTGCTCCCCGCTAGCAAAGTGAGTTCTCCTGATGATTGATCCCAGTGGGGATTCTAGGGTAGAATTACTCCCCAGTACCATGCAGGATAAGAGAAGAAGGTATATAATGATAAGAGCAAAGGTTAGAGTGTGTGACCTGCCGGTCTGGGTGTCATTGTACCTTGATGCATGGGGATGATTCCGTGGTGTAGTGGATAGTGTCTGACCGGAGTGTGGAAGGTCGGTGGTTTGATCCCCAGCCATGTCATACCAAAAGACATTAAAAGATGGTACTTGTTGTTACCCTGCATGACACTCGGTATTAAGGGGCTAAAACAAGGGCTGGTCAGCTCAGAGTCAGTATACTATGTCTGAGTGGGGTATTCATGTGAATCTGCATCATGGTATCTCAGTGGACCAGCACTATAAAACTGTCTTGCCTGGAATAGTACAAGCAGCCACACACACCCACACCCACACACCCAAACCCCCTCCCACACACGCACAAAGGGACACGCGCACACACACACACACACACACACACACACACACACACACACACACACACACACACACACACACACACACACACACACACACACACACACACACACACACACATGGACAATGCTCAATGAGTGAAATAATCCTCAATAAGTGTGAAATGATCTGACCTTAATAACAATTTTCACTCACTCACTCTTTGTCCTTGTTTTGGGTTTAACATTTAAAACATGATAAGAGAAATATGTTCATTGTTCATACAAAGAGATAATATTTTCCTGGAACAATTGATTTGGGTTACTATTGCTTATCACCTATAGGATTATCAGGTGTTGTGATTAGCTTGCTTTTGGTTTCAGACAACTATTCAGGATTGAGGGCATCAAAGCAGTGTTTTTTGCAACAGACTTTATCACAATAACAAGGGTAAGAAAGAAAATACAAAAGTAACGAACAAATGAAAAAGGAAGAATTTAACATGTGTTTTAAGGCTACAGCAGAGTCACTATTCTTTGAATTATGTTTTCCTTATCTGTTGTGGATAATGTGTCACACCTTGTCCTTCACAGATAGAATATGTGCAAGGTTGAAGCCCTACAGAATTAATTATTGAGACATGATCTAGATCACATAATTATGACATCAATCAATATTAGAACATCAATCTGAGCAAAGGCCTTTTGAGGGTTTTTACATTCTTTGCCCCATGTCCATTTTACATCATGTTAAGTATTTTCTAATCTGAACATACATCATGTACAGATTTATATTAGCTTAGCTTACAAGACATGCAGGGGCACGGGTCGCCACAATTTGCTGTGCAGAGTTGTGTCCCTTGGGGGGCCAGAAACCTGATTGTAGGTTTGAATCCCGGTTCGTCCCGATTATGTTTCTAGGTTTGTCAGCACCATACCTGTGCTCGCGGTGTCAGTGAATGGGTAAACGTGTAAGACCTGCATCACATTGGGCTTTCCTCCCACATTAAGCTGACATGCCATGATATTACGAGAATACTGTTAAAAGCGGCATTAAACAGAATTCACTAACTCACACACTCCCTCACTACTAGACATGCTTGACCAAAATTTTTACTGTGCTTGAGAGTTTCAGATTATTGTCTATGATGTAAGACAGAAATATTCTGATAAATTTATGATCCTGTTCATGTTTTATTTTCAAATATCTTATGCATTCCTAGAAAAATTCACTGTAGGTGTAATGCATGAATAGCTGCTTAGTCTATGCTGTGTCACTATCATCATGTGTTCATTAATCTTCTACAGATTGATGAAGATGTGGAGTGGGGAATTTTGAAGCCAGACATCTTTGCCACCATCATGGACTTCTTTGCTTCCAACCTTCCTGTTCTTACAGATGAACAGCCCTCCTCTGATACATGTAGGTCCTAGGATGTAATGGACTCTAACCAGTGTAAATCAATACACACAGAAATAGCAAGCAGTCAGTATAAAGTAATAATCCCCCGGTGTGTATACAGTTCACTCACACCCCTTGTAATTATTACACTATGAGTGTCTCCACAGATTGTATTGTACAGGATTTTGACCTTGAGGTTGAAGCTGGTAAAATCCTGTACTAGTGACACAGATCTATCATTAACTGTATATAAGTTATGGACTTAATATTTGTACTTATCCTGTCTCAAACTATGCATTTCTTTCTTCTTTCGATCCTATTTGGAAACATGCTTGATCAGTTTCCAGCTTCTAAAAACAAATCATCCGAACACATCCCAACATCACCATGGTCATCACCCAAACAAATGGGTCATGGACTGTAACCCCGTGCATGGTGACATTCACGACCTGATCATGTGAATACCCCTGCCACATTATTCTCTATCTCATTGCCACACTGTGGAGACGTGCACCGAGAGTTCAGAGAATACATTTTTTTGCTGGATTTCCCTCCAACATCATTTGGACTTTACATATATTTTGGAGGGAAGATGAGTACAGATAAGAAACCCTGCACGGCCTGAAGCCCTCACTCAGTGTTTCTTGCAGCCTTACCTCCAGAGTGCGATTGCCAGGTCTCAATATCCCTGTTGATATCTCTACTTCCACATCTTCTGTGGTGGCTGGTCACATCGAATTGTTGCACGAGAGTCTCTTTGCGGACATTTGTCCTGTCTCAACATCTCCTTGCCAATGCATCCACTGTGGGTTGGGGAGGTGGCAGGGCGCTGGTCCCCCAAAAGAAGCAGCTCCTTATCAACAACTTCGAGCTCAAGGCAGTCATTCTGGAGGTGTCCCATTGGGCAGAGCTCCTTCACCTCATGATCCAGTCAAACAATCTGTCGGTTGATTGGTATATAAACAAGATGGGCTGCGACAAGTAGACGTTGATCCTGTCGCTGTCGATCGACTTCTGCTGGCTGATCGACTTCCTGAACATTCAGGTTTCAAGCGAGACATATATCCGGGATCAATGACGTCATAGCCGAATCCCTATCCCATCCTGAAAGACTGCCTACACCCGATGATCTTCCTGTGGATCTGCCAACTTTACTCAAGCCCAGACGTCAACCTGTTTGCATCCAGGTTCAATTCTCAGCTGTCCCGGTTTGTCTCTCCCATCCCTTACATCTTTGCCCTGACCGGTGTTCTGCCTTGGGTCCTTCAGAAAACTGCATCCACCAGCTTCCTGAAGCTGATTTTGGTTGCGCCCTGTTGGCCAACTCGGGGCTGGTTCACAAAGTTGGTACAGCTCGCAGACAGAAGTCACTACTTTCTTCCACTGCGGGACGATCTTCTCCTTCAACCTCACCCTCCATCTATGCATCTATAGAGGTCCCTTGTCGCCAAAGGGTATGGAAGGAAAGTGGCCATGACCATCATGGAGGCTCACTGTTCCTCTATAATCACAAATGGAAAGTGTTTGAGGCCTACTGTTGAGCTCATGACATCACCAAACCCACCACTTCTTCTATGCAACAGATCGCCAACCACTTCCATCATTTATGATTTTCCTGGAAGCTTAAAGGGTCCACTTGGTTACCTATTTTGCTGCCATCAACACTGTCATTGCTACTACAACTGGTTCAGAGATATTTACAGTTGCTGTGCTACAGTTCCTCATTTGGTCCTAAAAGTTAGTGGACCTGTCATCCCTTTCCGGACACCAACTTGGGATCTCAACATCATTCTCCATCATTTGACTTTGGCTGAATATGAACTGCTTGATGACAAGGATTTTGAGTTGATCACTTTCAGAACCATCTTTCTCCTGGCTCTTGCGACTGCTGCTAAAGTTAGTGAAATCCATTCTCTGGATGTTAACAGGGTCCAGTTTGAGATGTTACAGAAGGGGAAGGTTTTTCTGGGCCTTCGTCGGGATTTCTTTTCCCATCCTGTTGCTTGCATCCATCTTGAGCCCTGAGGGCCTAGAAGATACCTCTTTATGACCTTGAGGCTGCGAGACCACTTCGGAGACCCTGGAAGAGACCTTTCATCCCTTTTTCTGCAGCAACCACAACGGAAGCCTCCCATTTTACAGTCTCCATTTGGCTTCGTTTGACCATACTGCGGGCCTTCACCTTCGCTGGATTGCCCACCCCAGTAACTGCACCCTGCAACTGCACCCTGTCCGCCATTATGGGAGGGTGCTTCTGGAAGTCAGATACTTCATTTCCCACAATCTCTGTGACATCTATGTTACAGATGTCCAGAGTCTTCAGCAGTTCGGTCCCTTGGTTCTTGCACAGCAGGTGTTGACTGCATGCCAGCGCAGATAGTTGATATGTGTACCGCTCCTGTCTGTTCGTACTACGTATCCAGTATTTACAGATTAAATCGCAGAACTGTCACTGCTGTGTGCATTGTCTTTTTATTAGTTGGGCTCCCAGACTGAGTACCCAATCGGAGGGTAGGATCAATCGTCTGAAGAGAGTTTTAATAGTCTCCCAAATCCTTACCTCTGCTTTATGCATGTGCTACCTGATATTGATTTGAAGATGGATGTTGTCGATCCTTCCTCTTCTTATCTTAGCATGCTTCAATGTCTCTGGTGTGATTGATAGTTCTGACGATGCGTTTAAAGAGATGCCGAGCTAGCGCGCCCTATTGTCCACAGGAAATAGTGGTCTGACCTGTCTTGAAGAATTGATTGGCTGGAGACCCCTTCCGGATTGATGATAAGTCGTACACTGCTACCCTGTGGTTCATGTAACGTTGTCATTCATGAAAACATGTTACACATATTATACCTGATTTCATGCTTTTATGTCCAACAAACGTATAGTGTGTTTCCCTGCTCACGAGATCTTGTCCTTGTGACACGTACATGGGATAAATGCATTGTGTGAGATAGGATAAGTTTAAAAAATTGTAAAATTTACATTAAATTGTATATTTATATACTTATCCTATCTCACAGGACCATCCCCGCATCACAGCTCCACTAGCCTGTTAGCTCTGAGAAAGAGAATGATGTGGTAGAGGTACTCAGATTATCAGGTTGTGTAGGTGACTATGCACGGGATTACAGTGTATGACCCATTTGTTTTGTTGGTGACGATGGTGATGCTGGGATGTGTTCGGGTGATTTGATTTTAGAAGCTGGAAAACTTTGTTCAGGCACGTTTCCACATATGATTGAAAGAAGAAGGAAGAAATGCATAGTTTTTGATTGGATAAGTATATAAATATACAATTAAGTGTAAGATTTACAAATTTCTGTGACATCTTGTTGTGTGACATTTAAATTTATCATTTATCGGCCACCTGACTGTCAGTATGGAAAGTCAAATGGGTCAGTTGCGACACGACAAGTAAGTGGCATCTCCAGCGTTAGAAATTTGCACTAGTCCTATAGTCCTTACCAAACTGCCCAATAGTAAAGGTATCCTAAGGACTAGTAGAAATTGGCCCATTTTAAGGGTTTTGCTATATGTTATTATTATAAGGACTAGTGGACAAAAACTAACCCTGATCTCATCGACTAGCCAGCTGACTTGTATGGGTCAGATTGTATGTCAGTGTTCCTGTGAGAGTGAAACAACTTCTTCATCTTGTAGCAGCCCATCCTGATGATGATGAGACAGTGTTGATGATCAAGGAGCTGCTGGACACTCGCATCAGGCCAACAGTGCAGGAGGATGGGGGAGACATTGTCTACATGGTACGTTGTCTTGTTCTACCGATGGACACCATGGCAGCCATAACGAAAATGCCATTTGCTCCTACATCAGTGTTAATCAATATACAGTTCTGTGCTGAGATTAATGGCCCTTCATTTTAATGATATTTATATCAAACTGTTTCCATTGATTTTATAAGTCTCTCATAACCTCTGGGTGGTTTCTGTACATTATTTGTAACCTGTTTAATGCCAAGGAGAATGTAATCTGCTTGATACAACTGTACAGAAAGTGAGACTTAAATAAACTACCCCTCCCTCCCTCCCTCCCTCTCCGTCTCTCTCTCTGCTGTCTGTCTGTCTCTCTCCATCTCTCTCTCTCTGCTGTCTGTCTGTCTCTCTCTATCTCCTTCTCTCTCCTCTCTCTCTCGTGAATTGAATATGGCGAGATTGGTTAGTATTTGAAAAGGACCTCTGTAGATACATCTTCAATTTTCAATATTTCATGGTCTTCTTTGGAAAAACATGTTGTATACACTGGTGTATACGTTGGTGTATACAGTGGTCTATATAACACTAAAGTATTGATGATACTGTCAGTAATTACTGTTATTTTCCAGGGTTTTGTTGATGGCGTTGTGAAACTGAAGATGCAAGGGTCGTGTACGAGTTGTCCCAGCTCAGTCGTCACACTAAAGAATGGGGTACAGAATATGCTGCAGTTCTACATACCTGAAGTACAGTCCGTGGAGCAGGTCAGTTGTAGCATACATAGGCTGTTGCTGTAAGGTGTGGGAACTTTCATGGTCTCCTTAGCATGTTTAGCTCACCTGCCCTGATGGGTTATTTGAGTACATGATATGGAAAGACAGGCGTTGCTATCAGTATGAAACTTATCACGTCTCAAGGTATCAAGAACTGTTGATGGATTGAGCTGATATTTTGTTTTGGTGTATCTTCTTATTGGTCGGATCAAGTTTTGAGTAGCATCTGAAATCTTTAATTCACCATGTTCATTATGCCCATGAAGCAGCCTTCTTTTTGTTGCATATTTACATTAGTTTACCTCTGAAGAAGTTATATTAATGATGTTGAAAAATCTTTCCAAGTAAAAAGCCAATGATTCAAACACTCTGTCATCTTGAAAATAAAGTTAAGGTCAACATTTTCAACAGCCATTACTTATGTACACAATAAATGAAGCCTTTCTTGAGATGTCTGGCTGACTTAACACAGGGGGATGTACAAACAGACAGCTGAATACAATGTGCCCATCTTCACTTGACAAAAATATTATTTCTTAGGGACAATGTATTTCACAATGTTGAACATTTTCTTAACTTTGTTTAGCAATAAGGCATAATAGAAAATTTATTTCCATACAATTTGGCTATTTATTTGCTTTTCAGATTTGCAGAATCAACAAATGTAGAATAAAGTTAAAATCTTGAGAACAATCATTTTCTCCTCCTACTGTGTCTATTTTTTATCAGGTTAATGTGAGAAGGGTGGTTTCATGCTAATGTCTTTTGAAAGAAATTTTTCCACTATAATCTCTTTATTTAAACAGAAGTTATTTTGATATTTCTTTACCAATGACCCTATGTTTGTTTGTTAAAGGTAAGTAAACAAAGCAATGTAAACAGATTCTGCAAGGACACTTTGAATGAATTATGTAATTGTTATAGTGTAGCTGATGAGTAATGGGTGAGCAGGATCATCGTACCATGTCTCCCTTTCACATACCCCTGTCTTTTCCAGGTTGAAGATGAAGCTGATGAAATGGCACATAGTGAACTGAGGAAACTGGAAGAGAAGATTGGGGAGAAAGATTGAACATCCCCAGGTACAGAAGGATGAAGAGAGATCTGTGTGATGAAGGGATGTGATTGTGTTCTAGATTGATTTTCAGAAGCAGTGTTAGAACCTTGAGGTTTGCTGCTGTATCTAGGGACCTGCAGAATCTATGCTAGTTAATATTATTGTTATGACAGAATCCTTTGACATGTGAAAAAACTGTATTTAAGGTGTATATTTGGAATATTGATACCTCATTTATACTCAAAGCACTGGAATTGTTTTATGTGACATAGGAAAGAGTGAAAATCTTTGTTTGTGTGAAAGTATACTAAAAGGGGATTGGTTGGTTAGTGTTTGACCTGATTGTGTGTCATTTCAACAGTATGGTGTGGATAATGCTATCAACCGCTGGTGTGTCTAATCCTGATTTAAGAGTGACATACGTGTAATATTGCTGACTGTGAGAAAAGACAACATTTACTCACTCTGTCCTTTTCTTGACAAAAAAAATGAAAGAGAGATGAGAGATGATAAAAAAGAAATTGTTATCAATTTGTAAATCCATAACTGTTGTGTTATTGCAGAAGAATGTCTAAATGTCTATCAGTGTTGGCAGATCAACACTCCTACCCTTGGTTCAAGAATTCTTAATTACTTTCTTTCTTTGCACTTTGGTGAGAGAAAACTAAAATGGGGATCTAAATGCATTACCAGACTGTTATTGTGTTATTATACGCCACTGGCTTATGTTGTTGTTCACACTACCAACCTCCGATCCCGTGAAGATCCGGGAATAGGTCTTCGGCAACCCATGGTTGCTATAAAAGGCAACTATGCTTGTCGTAAGAGGCGACTAACAGGATTGCTGACTTGGTTGATGCATGTCATTGTATCTCAATTGTGTGGGTCGATGCTCATGGTATCGATCACTGGATTGTCTGGTCCAGACTTGATTATTTACTGACCACCGTCATATAGCTGGAATATTGCTGAGTGTGGTGTTAAGCAACAAACAAGCAGAAACACACAGACAAACCTGGGATCCCAATTGCATAGATCGATGCTCATGATGTCGATCACTGGATTGTCTGGTTCAGACATACAGCTCAAATATTGCTGAGTGTGGCATTAAACAGCAGTCAAACGCACAAATAAACTCAGTAAAAATAGTTAGACAAAGATGTTCTCATTGAAACACATTAAGCTTTTAGTAAGGCTTATAATTAAATTACTAAAATAAATTGGCTTGGCCTCACAACTTAAAGATATAACCATGAGAGAAAACAGTGGAAGCCCTCTAGGTATAATTATAAAATAATGTTAGTATTTGTTAGAAGTTTATCATGGTGTATGGTGAGATTTTGGTTGCAGTGAAACTCATTGCAAGAACTATGTCATATGGAACCTACAATGCTGTTTGTATATGTGTTATTACATGTGTTGTATGTTACCATAGTTAATACAGGAATTTGTTGATTGAAATAAATACCCCTCTGTGAAGAAAGAGTTTGTGGTCAATCTGCTCATATTGGACATTTATCTTTAATGGTGAACTGTGGCTTTGCATGGAGATTTATAAAGCTATAGTTTCCAAGACTTTCAAAGACAGACATTTTTAAGTAGTTAAATTTCAAGGAAATGGCTAAATGATAAGCAGAAGGTTCAGTGCAATATAGCATTATACAGATATGTTAGCTTGAGGTCATGTATCAGTACTGAACTATGCAAGTGTATATATGGAGAAGATGTAAAATCATATGAAACTTAATTGTTATATCCCTTGTGGGGATTGCAGGTTAGAATTAGTTCCCAGCAACCTATGCTGGGCGTATGACTTAATCTTTTAGGAGCTCAGGCACAGCATGGATCGTTGCCCTCAATATCAGTATCAATCAGTTGATTGTCTCTTATCCAGGTTTGATTATTTACAGACTGCCATCATATAGCTGCAGCATTAAACAACAATTACAGTGAATACACAATGCCATTTAGAAAGATGTTATATTTGGGATAACACTTTTTTAGTAAAGTACAGATTCTCGTACTATTTTTGGTTGAGTCACGTCCCGGGATTCGAACCCACACTTGCTAGAGTGAGGCACCTTATCGCCAGCAAACAAAGTCAGTGATCTAACCCACTAAAGCCGCCGAGGCTTCCACAAAAATGAAAGTCCGACAACTGGTAGTCTAGATCACGTACTTTGAGTACCCCTCTGACAAGTGTAAATTGGCACAGCTCCCATGGCCGAAAGCTATGAATACACAATGCCATTTAGAAAGCGGTCAAATGTAGCCGATGTTATATTTGGGATAACACTTTCTTAGTAAAGTACAGATTCTCGTACTTTTTTGGGTTGAGTCCCGTCCCGTCCATTCCACAAAATCTGTTGCATGCACTGTTGTCTTTTCATGGTGAGTTAAAGGGATAACAAGTTGAGTGCGCCCAATTTCCAACAATTTCTGCTCTGTAGATGGTGTGTGCATAATACACCCATATGCTCTTGATGTTTCTCCCCAATCAAAGACATACCATGAACCCCCAACGCCAGAAATACCATGTCAATAAATCCATACTGAAGTACACAATTTAATCCTGTTATTACACTAACATTATATATCTGGTTATAAAATGTGTTCCTTGTATATCTGGACTTGTGTTTGTAATCTATTTTATTAATTTGATTCAAAATTTCATTCAATATTGTTTATGACCTGTGAAGATCCGGGTTAGAATAGGTCTTCAGTAACCCATACTTGCCGCGACTATGCTTGTTGTAAGGTGCGACTAACAGGATCGGGTGGATCGATGCTCATGATGTCAATCACTGGATTGTCTGGTCCAGACTTGGTTATTTACAGACTGTCGTCATGTAGCTGGAATATTGCTGATTTGAACAACAAACAAACAAACAAAATCAATATTGTTTACATTAATTTCGGTGAAATCGTTTGTGAACTTATTGGCAGGTCGAACCAACTCACCGTTATTTACAGCACCCACTATCAGACAATCCAGTGATTCACATCATGAACATCGATCCACGCAATTGGGATACGATGACATCCATCAACCAAGTCAGCTAGCCTGACCCCCCGATCCCGCACTCACTCACTAAGAGTGGACATATAAATATGAAATGATAAAAATCTTCGATATTGTTTAGGTTACAATAAGTACATTTTCTTCCAGATTTTAGAATTTGTGGTGTCCTCGCTATCGACATTAAGCCTTGTATATCCAACTCAAGCGTGAACACAATTAGTAGCAAAATGTACACAAGAATTGATTTGTACGCGAATGGTTAAATGATTACAAATAATGGACGCTGTCCGAAATATCATATGTGGTTGTTATTGTTCACATTTGACGTTGTTACAGTAAATGTGACACGAACGTATGTGTGCTATGTACAGTAAACTACGGTTATAACGAACACGCTTATAACGAACTGACGGATATAACGAACTTACTTTTATGGTCCCGACTATTTGCTGTAGTTATGCTGTATATATGCTTATAACGAACTACAGTTATTTACGAACTATAATTAGTAGTCCCCTTGAGTTCGTTATAACCGTGCTTTACTATATTCATCTTTATTGTAACGTGGGAGTGCTGGTTTGGATGGCTCATTTACCAACTTGAATATCCGGGAAGTAGTCCTGGCATCTTCCATCATATTGAATCTTGTGACCAGCAACTGTGGATGATAGAAACAGTTTTATTGTAATGAAACAACATAAGTAATTATGCAATATAGACACTTGTTAAATGAATGTGTGTGTGTGTGCTGTAATCTGATTGGTTGAAATACGTTAAATGGTATTGGAACTGTGAAATTGTTCTGACTTTTCACTTATTAATAATTGTACTCTTAATCTTATTGATGCACATTCATTTTTTTCTCAATCCCAAATTTGAAAAAATAACTACCATTCGGCTTGGCATAATGGATACTTCGCAGATACAATATTAAGTTTGATTAATATTTATTAGAAGTTGCTGTGGACAATAACTAATGTCGTTTGTGTTTTACATTGGCAATACACATTGTGTGTGTTCAGATTTCTGGGTGAAATCGATTATTTGATGCCCGAACATTATAATATTTGAAACTCCCTGCTAATGTTGTTGGTCCCAAATGAAATCTATCGACATCAATACAAATATGAAAAAGACATTATGTCTATCTCCTAAAAGTAAGAGATTGGTTGTATTTCTTAAGTTGTATTTGGTCAATGGACATTATAGCAGACATATTTAAATGTCAATTTCGTCCATTTCTACAATGTGTCATTGTCAAATTTGATATCCACTAAGTATATGGAATTTGTTCCCCAAACTATGTCATGTATATCTATTTTGGTGTCCCACTGTGATCTTTGACCTTTACATGTGGCCATTAATCTGGCTACACATTGCATTCTTTTGACTATTTGAATATGTTGGGGAACATACTTTTGACTAGCTCACCATTCATGGTTTGGGCCAATTAGGACTTTTTGTTATCAAATGTTTAGTTTTTTATCAATAATGTTTTCAATTTCTAATTCATCAGGAGAGCTTCAGAGCCTCGTGACTCAATTTTTTCTTTATTTTGTGCCATCGCATCCTCAAATACGTATAAGAGGTTGACCACTTGTCATTTGTTAGCAAATTTACAGAAAGCATCAGATTTACATGGCCTCCTGCTTTGAGTACTAACTTTAAGCTGACAATTGTCGATCCAACCTTATTCAATGATTATTTACACCTACTCTTTACCTTTGAAATTCGGCCATCGGTCCATCATGCCGTCAAGGAAGCTGCAGAAATCGCATTCGTTGTCGAATGGACCGTCGGTGGTGCAGATGCGTTGGACGGTGGAGGAACATGGGTGCTTGCTACCCAGAGGGTCCATTGTGTTGAAGGCATAGTTTTCACAGTCAGGCTGCAAGATCGACACAATACCAGGTTAATCGGGATTCCGGGTTAGATTTGGTCCTAGACAACCGATGCAGGTTGGGAGAGGTGACTTAATGGATCGAATTGTCAGGAACTGGTGACTTAGTTGATTGCATGTCATCGTATCCCGACGGCATGGATCGTTGCTCATAATGCCATACCGGTTTCTCTGGTCCAGATTCGATTTATGTTGTACTATTTCGCTGTCTTATAGCTGGGCTATTGCTGACTGCAGTGTTCATCAACAAACTACATAAAATCACTGCCAACAGGATTATACTTGATAATGTTTACTTGTCTCAGACTTCACTGACCAGTGGGATGTCAACATGGTTGACATTGCCTTTTATCATTGATCAGTTCAACATCACCATTACAAATACAAATAATACAAATAATCCGCAAAATATGAATTTTAGCGAAAGTGAGAAACGCTCTTAATATGTGAAAATTCCTTGTCATGTTAAGTTACTAAGTTCTCTAATGTGTGTAGTAACAAGCAACTATTTGCGATTGAATTTGTATTGAAGGTGCTTCCATGAAAGACAAATTGTTCACTGCATCAACCGTTGGTTTGCGAGCGGATTCCAGGTGATAATAGGTCCCATCAACCTGTGGTGGGCGTAAGGGGCAACCTTACGGGTCAGGTAGTCCCCCCTCGGTGACTTGGTTCATTTCGTGTCATCTTACCCCGATGGCGTGGATCGTTGCCTCCATCACTGGATTGTCTGTTCAAGACTTGATTATTTACATGCCTCCGTGATAGAACTGGAATATTGCTGAGTGAGGCATTAAACAACAATCAAACGAAACCATTAGTTCGCCTGTTCCAGACTCGATGAACAGACTTCCCCTTCATGCCCTTGGAGTATTTGACCTTTTAGAACCTCCCCCTTACGATGCAAACACGAAAACATCTTTTTGCAGCACTTACCTCTCTTGGGCCAGGGCAGGTATTGCTGTTTGACACAATGGACAGGAGGTGGCCATTTTTGAAAGCAGCACAATAAGCCAGGTTGAAGCGACACTTGTTGTCTGAAGAGATTTTTTAAAGAAATATTCATACCACAGTGTTGCATTAAATAATGACATGGCATTATTCGTCCTAAATTTGACTTATCACATGATACCATGATGTGTCTACGGAGTGAGTGAGGAATTTGTAATTGACCATCATTTTGGTTGGATCTAAAGGACAATAGCCTTAAAAGAGTGTGTTAGTGAGGTGGGGTTTAATGCAGATTTAATGCATCTAAGTTATTTCACCAAACTGACATAGTTTCAATGAACGGGACATTGAGAAAACTTGACATCCCCACCGTACACGACTCCGTCCGAGGCACAGACGGGGGTCTTCACGTCCTGATCATCACAGATCATGTCACAACGGATCGGGTCGTCTAACAGAGGGCTGCACCTGCCACTGTAACTCTCGTAGACGCGAGGACGCCCTTGGAGCAGCGACTGGCAAGAAGCGATACCCAGCTCACAGGCGTTGTCTGTAAAAGAACATGGACAGCTCGTAACACAAAGGCGACATAACAACTGTCTTGTCAGATCTGATGTAGTCACATGTAATATTCATGCAATTAGAATTCTCCAAATGTCTTTAGAACTCATTTCACAGCTAATACGAGAGCCGTAGTGAGTCAACTTGTTTCAAATTGGAATTTGTGGATGTAAGTTTTTTAATGTAGAAAACGGTGAGAATGATATTACAAATAGGCAAAAATGTTTTATGGATAATAACTTCTTTATTATGCTGTGATTGCGACGATTCCGTTTTATACCGTTGTCAAGCAAGCCTGGCAAAGGAGCGTGGTGCAGAACAATATATGGTTGGTTTTGGATTAACAGTAACAACAATTGTCATACATGAGGGAGGTTAAAATTAGTAGGTTATCTAATAACAACAGAAGGATAAAATTGTACCAACATGGTGGACAAAGAACACACTATGAGGAAGTCCATTATACCGGATTAAACTATTAATGGTGGGATGATTGGAAAAACTAGTGCTGGATTAGTTCATGGTTGGCTGGTGGGATGAAATACGTCCCACCCCATTTGACAGATACCTTAAAATCACAAATGCCGCAGTTAAGTTGTCCCACTATCTAATGCTTGTTACCCCATATATCAAACACCTGGTGAGAATATAAGACTTATAATAATTGTCACTGACTAACACATGGAGCGTTCTTGTTTTTTGATGAAAGGGATTTTCACTTCTGTGTTTCAACGCTACCAGTATGATGTATTAAAATATAGAAATACTTTTTTAATGTTGATTCTGCTGCTGATCTTGGATGTTATTAGTTAAAAATTCATTCAGCTTTAAACACATTCGTTTTATTACTTTTATGTAAAACAAAACGCTTTTGAAATCTGTTCATTATAAAACTTGAAACATATTCACCTTGGTGTGCCCTTTGGTATTGAGTATGCAATCAGTAAACTTTAAATAACCTGACTGCAACTTGAAACTAAATGAGACGTATGTGGACATGCTATTTGAAGATAGATGCCAAAACAAATAAATTTATTAACTGAATTTGTGATGAAAGCATGTGTCACCATTTCCACTATTAGTAGAATCACCCAATCTTGTTTTTGCTGTAGAGGTGATGTTGAAAGTGTTGAGGGGGCGTACCTCTCTGCGATGTTACAAAGTTTACTTCCCGCAAACCTGCTATGTTAGTGACAAATTCATATATCTCTGGCAATATGTGCACAATTTCGAAAAACATGTAAATTTAGAAAACACAATACTGTCGTTAGAAGCTAAGGTGAGAACTTACAAATTTAAGTTATTTTTATAATCGAATGTTTCATTAATTTAATCTATATATACGGGTAGAAAATAAAACACTAGATGTTCCTATTGTATTTGATTATATGAATCATTTAACCATTAACTTCAAATGTCTTTACTTATTTCATCTTAATAATACGGAGGTTGAAGTCTTTTAAGACTGGTCCATTACCATAAGAAGTACATATCGTATGTTTGGACAAGCCATCCCTACTCCGCTGTCTGACAATTCGCGTACCTGACAAATGTGGTATGACCATGAGATAGCCTAGATCTCTGTTGATGGAAGGCTTGTGGCGGCGAATCTGGACTGCTTCTGTTAGTTTCCTTTATATTGATAGTGAAGTCGTGGAGGTTGTTGGAGAGGATTTGGATATTTTCCCAAATGATGTAATTGGGGCAGTTGCTGATATGATCCGAGATGGATGATTTACTTGATTTGATGGTTGCAGTTTTCTGCTCTTTGATTCTAGTGTTGATTGAGCGGAAAGTTTCACCTACATAAGATTTCCACGGTCACAGTCAATTTTGTGAACTACATCCTTGGGTTCTTGCGGTTATTGTCTTACTTGACAACGGTATAAGAATGTACAGCGAAACCGATGTTGTTATCCATAAAACATCTACTTTGTGATCCGTCAACTCAGAAATGCCTGTCAAACAATTCAGAATATTATATCAAATGATATTGGATACAATGCAAAGTTGTCCATAAAAAAATGTATGTAGTGCACTGTGTAAAGAGTGAGTGAGTGAATATCGGTTAAAACCGCATCATCAAAGTTGCAGTTGTTCGCGGCATCTTCGTAAGGGTGGTACTTAAACGGTTCACATTATTGATCTTGGAGGTTATACATGGAATGCCACTTGCAGTTATTCTGCCACAGTCTGATAGGATAACGGCTTACTGTATGTGGCACCATTGGATCCACACACAGGTTTGTACTCGGTATCGCAGGCCGTCGGGCAGGAGCTTGACGGGGCTCCAAGCGCACCTGAAAGAGGAGACAGTCAGTCAGTGAGTGAGTTTGGTTTAACGCCGCTTTTAACAGTATTCCAGCTATATCACGGCGTGTCAGCTTGATGTGGGAGGAAAGCCCGAGGTGATGCAGGTTTCAGACGTTTACCACTTCGGTGAAACCCACGAGCACGGGTATGGTGCTGACAAACCTAGAAACATAATTGGGGCGAACCGGGATTCGAACCAACAATCATAGGTTTATGGCGTGCCCAAGGGACGCAACTCTGCACAGGGAATCGCGGCGCCTTAGACGACTGGGCCACCCGTGCCCCCAGACAGTCAGTGAAGGGACATTCATCACATTCACAGGGGGAAAGCGCTGTCCATGCCAAACCGGAAAGCCGGTAGGTAGCAACTACCCTTTTCTCTCTGAACATCAAAACATGTGATTTCACCCGACCACATGGAGCATGACTTAGGCAAGTTTTTAGCCGTTTGAATTAATATTGTGAACTTAATTTAACTTATATCATGACCGAAAGGCTTCCAGACGCTAACCGTTATATTATCTGTATGCAACACTCAGTAAAAAAAGTTCACTATTGTTATCTTTACTATTGATTTCATTTGGCGCGATACGGACCAGTCGACAATTGGATGCTTTTCAACGTAAAAACGACATTATCATTTCATACTTGCGCACTTTTGTGTCAATTTTAGCTTGTTGGGTAAATTATCCATGGCTCTGTGTTGGTATATTATCAAAACTGTGCCAGTATATCATGTCTTTTTTTAAATAATTATAAACATGTATGTGTAACACTATCCAAACCGAACTTTTGAATGAAGTCACAACGGAACTGATCATTCCCTTCTTCCAAATATAAGAGACTGAGAATATCTGAACATCACGATTGGCGACTGTGTCATTAAGCAGTGCCATAGCCAGCCGGGGGCAGGGAGAGCAGTTGCCCCCCCTAGATTTTTTTTTATATAGAAAACAGTTTTATTTGAATCAAGTTGGGGACAAGTGATACTTGTACAAATATACCTGGGCGTAATAAAGTTCAGTTCAGTCAATCTGGATTAATAGAGTTTCCCTGTATAGATCAAACTGCGAAAACATTTAACACGTTTCAGTACAAATGAAAATTAATGAAAGAATGTTTTGAGTCCATTGACATGCATGCTTCTTGTCATGTGAGTTTTTACTCTCTGATCCATGTTAAGTAATATATACATGCCATACAGTTAATTACTGTTTTAGATATACATACCAACTACAAATGAAAGACAAAGTAGACCCAGCATGGTCGTCCTGTCCTCAGTGAACTGTATGTTTATAATTGTATCTCTTATACTATTCCTCCTTTGATAGGGATATTTAAAAAAAAAGCTATGATACACCAAAGCAAATCTCGAAATATGTCAAGTGTGTATTTAAATAGAATGACATGCCTGATTATCCCAGTCAAAAGTTGAGTAATATATGTACAGATAACCGACAAATGTTGTTTTCTCAGGAATTCACATATACTATCAATGTAGATATGTTTCTCTTAAGTACTACGTGAAAGACTATACAGCACTTGAGGTATTCATACAGGGATTGGCAATTCTAATTTGAAAATTCTTTTAGCATGTTTAGGTTTTTGTCAAAACACTTGTCAGGCGCTGCAATTCGTTGTGCATGGGTTCGAATCGCGGTTCGAGGTTTCAAGGTTTGTTAACACCATACCCGTACACGCGGGTTTCACCAAATTGGTAAACGACTAGTACTAAGACCTTCATCACAAGACTGTTCTCCCACATTAAGCCGGAACGCCATGATATAACTGGAATACAGTCCAAAGCGTCAAACCCCAACCCACCCATTCTTTTCAAGAGTCAGTTTCCTTGCCGTATGTTGCACAGTGAAAATAGCTTGAAGACGAAACTACCACAACCTCTACTGACTTTTAGTGTTATTTTAACCTATTCTTTTGGGAGGTGAAAAAAGTTCTTCAGAGCCAAACGTTACTCATAGTATCTTATCGATTCAAACATTTCGATATTTTATAAGTTTGATGAAATTATAATGAAGGCAGTTTAAACTGATAGAAAAAAATATAAAATGGAAATATAGCTCTCAGTGTGCTAACTTTTAGTCGAGGACGAACATAATTTTTGTAATCTGTAAGGTGTATGTAAAATAACAGATAAAAACAATATATATATCCATCATACTGCTACTATATATACTGCCAGGAAAGGAAACATAGACTTGAAAATCGGATTTGGCCAAACAATTAAAAACGCTATCAAAACACTACTGAAAACAGTCGCCGAAACACTGCAAACTTAAGGTCAAAGCACAGTTATGATACTCGCATCAATTACATCACCATCGAATGGCCATTTCCTGTTTGTTTCCTTTTTAGCCACACTCAGCCATTACACGTATATAACACTTAACCGATGACATTTGTCCTGTTGTTTCTAAATGGATATATTTATATTTATTGATTGGTATAGTATGCGTTTTATGATTCTGTATATCTATACTATTTCATTATTTTGTAAAAACGTGTTTGGAACCGTCATTCAAGTTTAATATATAAGCGGAGATGTCTGCTTATCGAATTGGGGCTACTTAGAGTTATAGAATGGACCTACGTCCTACACTGTTATGACAGTAGTACATTATCCATCAGCATCGCGACCGCCTTTAACAACCCTTACACGACTACCATCTCAACGTTCCTCAACGTCACCACTTCTGCAACGCCAGTACGTAGCCATATTGTATGAAGCAAAGAAGACGAGGATTCAGTTGGTGGGTGCTCTATAACTGCTGCCATGAAGCCGTTACAAGACATATAATCAAATACTCGATTACCAACCACGTATCTCAATATTAGCACGTCATTTTGTGAATAAAAACAAAATAGTACTTCGTTAAAACATTTGTGCTGGATACAATGTCAGGAATTGCCCATTTATTATTCAAATACATGTATATAGTAGGCGTTGCCTCATTATTTACCAGCCGCATATTTCCCATAGCTATTAGGTCAAAGCAATGGTTTATCAGTTGTTTATCTCGTGATAGAAATATTTTGTTGAAGGAGTCTAGGTCAGCCATTATAATTCTTTTGTTTAATCGTGAAAAGTGTGATGCAAAGCCTGTTTGTTCCCTCCACCATCTATGTGGACATACTTTTCGGATTATAAAATATCTAAAGAAGAGAATATATGGATGTCAACTTTTTAATTATGAGGAACAGCCCCAGAACCACCAACAAAACTGTAGTTAATTTGAGCAGCAAGACCCTCACACTTGCACAGACCTCCCTCCTCGCCAAAGGCCTATAAGATCAACACCGATGCCTTCTTCACCAGCATCGAGAGTGGACTTCAACAACTGGCCCCTTCGCCATCAGATCATCGAGACTATCATGTGTTCCTCATAATAAAGAAGTTGACATCCATATATTCTCTCCCTTTTGTGTTTCACTTCTAAATGCCTTTCAAAGACCTATAATATATCTACCGTCAATACTCCTCATATATAACCATTTTTTTTATAAAGAATGACGTTTTAGCTTTAAAGTTTACCTACAAATTACCAGCAAAGTTTAAAATCTTCGAGAGTATGGCCTGTTAGAAAAAGATCTTGTTGATGTACATGTATGCTGCTCTCAGCACGATGAAATTGTTCCGTTTAACGACCATCTCAGGTATTTTAAATGTTTAAAAACAACGCTTGATGTTTGGTGTGTCTCAGAACAGTCAGGCGAATAGGCGAATCAAGACTAGAGATATCTGACGCAGTCATTTTCAAAGGACTCTGCAATCGCCAGGAGAATGTGTGTTGACAATGCAAGTCGGGGGCGGACGGGTACCCTAGTGGTTAAAGCGTTCGCTCGTCACGCCGAAGACCCAGGTTCGATTCCCGACATGGGTTCAATGTGTGAAGCCCATTTCTGGTGTCCCCCGCCGTGATATTGCTGGAATATTGCTAAAAGCGACGAAAAACCATACTCACTCACAATGCAAGTCAGTAAAGTAATAGTCCCTTCGCTGGTAAAGTGTCAATGTAGATATCATTATTTTCCTTTGAGGACACGTGTGTGTCACATTATATACCTCTGAGTTCACGTGTGTGTGTGTCACATTGTATACCTTCGAGGACGCATGTGATTTTAATATGTACCTCTGAATGCACGTGTGTGTTACATTATATACGTCTGAATGCACGTGTGTGTCACATTATATACGTCTGAGGGAATGTGTGTGTCACATTATATACGTCTGAGGGAATGTGTGTGTTACATTATATACGTCAGAGGGAATGTGTGTGTTACATTATATACGTCTGAGGGAATGTGTGTGTCACATTATATACGTCTGAGGGAATGTGTGTGTCACATTATATACGTCTGAGGGCACGTGTGTGTCACATTATATACGTCTGAGGGCACGTGTGTCACATTATATACGTCTGAGGGAATGTGTGTGTTACATTATATACGTCTGAGGGAATGTGTGTGTCACATTATATATCTCTGAGGGAATGTGTGTGTCACATTATATACGTCTGAGGGAATGTGTGTGTTACATTATATACGTCTGAGGGAATGTGTGTGTCACATTATATACGTCTGAGGGAATGTGTGTGTTACATTATATACGTCAGAGGGAATGTGTGTGTTACATTATATACGTCTGAGGGAATGTGTGTGTGTCACATTATATACGTCTGAGGGAATGTGTGTGTCACATTATATACGTCTGAGGGCACGTGTGTCACATTATATACGTCTGAGGGAATGTGTGTGTTACATTATATACGTCCGAGGGAATGTGTGTGTCACATTATATACGTCTGAGGGAATGTGTGTGTCACATTATATACGTCTGAGGGAATGTGTGTGTTACATTATATACGTCTGAGGGAATGTGTGTGTCACATTATATACGTCTGAGGGAATGTGTGTGTTACATTACAGACGTCTGAGGGAATGTGTGTGTCACATTATATACGTCTGAGGGAATGTGTGTGTCACATTATATACGTCTGAGGAAATGTGTGTGTCACATTATATGCGTCTGAGGGCACGTGTGTGTTACATTATATACGTCTGAGGGAATGTGTGTGTCACATTATATACGTCTGAGGGAATGTGTGTGTCACATTATATACGTCTGAGGGCACGTGTGTGTCATATTATATACGTCTGAGGGCACGTGTGTGTCACATTATATACGTCTGAGGGCACGTGTGTCACATTATATACGTCTGAGGGAATGTGTGTGTCACATTATATACGTCTGAGGGCACGTGTGTCACATTATATACGTCTGAGGGCACGTGTGTCACATTATATACGTCTGAGGGAATGTGTGTGTCACATTATATACGTCTGAGGGCACGTGTGTGTTACATTATATACGTCTGAATGCACGTGTGTGTTACATTATATACGTCTGAGGGAATGTGTGTGTGTCACATTATATACGTCTGAGGGAATGTGTGTGTCACATTATATACGACTGAGGGCACGTGTGTCACATTATATACGTCTGAGGGAATGTGTGTGTCACATTATATACGTCTGAGGGAATGTGTGTGTCACATTATATACGTCTGAGGGAATGTGTGTGTCACATTATATACGTCTGAGGGAATGTGTGTGTCACATTATATACGTCTGAGGGAATGTGTGTGTCACATTATATACGTCTGAGGGCGCGTGTGTGTTACATTATATACGTCTGAGGGAATGTGTGTGTCACATTATATACGTCTGAGGATACATATATGATACCATTATGTATTTTGGAGGGCACGAGTGTGTCACATGTTGTATCTCTGAGGGCGCGTGTGTCACATTATATACTTCTGAGGATGTATAAGTGGTATTATTATATACATCTATGGGACATGTGTGGAGCATTATATTCCTTTGATTAAACATATGTGACATGTTTTAGTACTTCTTGAATATTCCATGCATAATCAAAACCATGTCCAAATAAAAAAGTTTTAATAAATGTTACCCAATTCATCCAATCTATATACAGCATATAGCATAAAATATGTTTGCTTTGGCATTATTTTAGGATTCATAGAGATAGGTTGTATCCAATACTTTATCACTTTAGTGGTATGACATGTGTAAATCTTTCGTCTTCCACATTCTCCGAGGACAGCACTGTTACTAACTGAATGGGGCAAATTCAATATTTTCTTGAAATATTTTGTTTGAACCCTTTCTGTTACATCACAGCTTTGATTTCCCCAAATCTCGGCACGGGATGATATATTGGCAAAACCATCCTGCGCATTCTAAAGACAAGCGATCACATAAATAGTGTACTTTTTAAATTTGTTGACATACTTTTTCAGCTTGTTGTGAAAGAGAAGTAACTGCGCGTGTCCAGATTAATTTGGAGTAAAGGTAATACCAAGGTACTTATAAAGTGAAAGGGTTTCTATTTGATTTCCTCCATAAAGTCATTTGTCATCTCTTTTAAAGTAGTCCCCCTTTCTAAAGACAATATTCTTTTACTTATTTGAATTTAGTTTCTTTCCCCATTTATCACAAAATGTGTCAATACAATCAATTTGTTCCCGAAGCCGCCCAATACTATCAGAGGAGTTAACTACATCGTCTGCAAAACGAAGAGAACAGATATTTGGTGCATCATTTCAAATAAAAATGCCTCTACAGTCTGTACACACTGAAACCAATTCATAAATATATATTATAGGAACATATTTGGACTTACAGCCTTGGCGAGTGCTGATACAATAATCAAAGAAAGCTGTTCCTCCATTTTCAGTTTTGACAATACATATCACGTAATACAGTTAAAACCTTGCCATTTAATCCATAATTGATCAAACGATGCCACAATAAAGTATGACCTACACAATCAAACGCCTTACTAACATCAATGAAAAAGCAATAAAATCTACCTTTAGATTCTCTTAAATATTTACAAATCCTGCGATGAAGGGAAAACATAGGATCTATTGTCAAACAGCTTTTACAGAAACCAAACTGATTTTTTGTAATACTAACACATGCATCTGTCCATGTATTAACTCTTTCATTTAGGATTTTTGTGAACACTTTTCCTATTACAGGAAATAATGTTATACTCCAATAGTTGTCTACAATTGTGGTTGAACCCTTGTTATGTATAGGACAGATAACGGCTTTACACCAGAACTCGGAGTAAACATAATTGTCTAGAATGCTACTGAAAAGTTTATAACAGATTGGTACGATAAAGTCAATGAATGTTTAAATAATTCAACTGGTCCATCTAATCCAGCGGATATTATATTTTTTTTGGTTAAGAATAGTTGTCGAGTTTTCGTTTTTAGTAATGTTACAATTTAAAATCATTCAATTATTTTGAGTGCAGTCATTACAAGGGAAGCTGCAATGGTGATATTATAGTGTTAACCAGGTCTGATATGGAAGAATATACATGATTTAGAAGTTCTTGAAAATAAGAATACCATTTATGTGCAGATATATAACTAGTTACTCTCATACGTTTAAGCTTGCGGATTTCTTACCATAGACTTTCTTGGTCTGATTTATTTTATTTAGCTTTTCTCTATTCACCATTTTATGGTTTTCTTTCTTAGTTTCACATTGTCTTTAAGTTTTGTTTAAGATATTTATAATTTTGCAAATATTTATTAGTACTTGATTGTCTAAACACATCTGAAGAATTTGTGTCGCTTTGAGCGATCACACTCCTCATTCCACCATGGCAGTTGTGATAAGCAGTCACGTGACCTCATATGCGCATATGTGATAACACTTGTTCAAACCTTCAAACTAATGTTTACTTCTATTTCTGAATCTATATCTTAATATGTTTATGGATTGATGGTCAGCCAAGGTATCACGGAATATGGTTTTATGCTCGTTTTTCCATAAATATTTATAAAAAGGGAATTCGTGAACAAATGAATCATTTTGAAATTTCTGAATATCCACCAGGGAATTACACGAAAGGGGGAAGTGGTCAGAATCATCCTTGTCAAGAACAGCGAAATTATGAAATGTTGAACGAAGATGGCTCGGCGCAAGCAAATAAACCACAGGATCTTGAGAATAAAAACACAACGATGAGAAGAAAATCTAGACAGACTAGAATCACAAAGCAGACACGATAACCTGATTTTTTATGGAATTGCAGGAGAAGAAAATGACTCCTCTAAATCCAAAGCCATAATACTTGAAACCATAAATATGGTCATACCACGAATGAATCGCCCTCAGAGAGACATCCAGAGGGCTCAGCGATAGGGAAAACCTCAAAGTAGTGAAAACAAACTTATAATTGCCAAATTCATTCATACCGAAGACCAAATGCTCGTAAGAAGAGCAGGGGAACAGTTTAATGCCAAAGGATTAAAGTTTGATACTGATCTCACTAAAAGACAGAGAGGTAAATTAGCAGCACTTAGACAAAAAGGAAAGATGGGGTATTCTGCTAACGATAACTAGCATCATCATCAGCGACCGAAATCAAACACGTCACAGATAAATAGTCCCTCATCTAGGAGCCAAGCAGCAATAGAAGAATAGGGGTTCGGCCAGGCCCATCAGCGACAAACGAATGAGCAAGAACAGAAACATGAAGCAGGAAAGATCTCACTATTTTCCTGGAACTGTCAGTCCTTACATAGACATTTCACCAACGAACACTTGAGAAATATATAGTTTTGAAAGACGTTTGTTACAAATTTGCAAATTATTTTCTTCACTTATAAATAATGGATGATTTCAGGGAGGCGTAAATGGCAATTTTACTTGTTTTACAAACAGAAAAGTACAGCTGATTACATGCTTGCTTTGAGACGTGTGTACTTCTTAGGAAACGTTTATATATCACTGATGATCTCTTGGAAGCCTACCAAAGTGTGTAACACATGGATGCCAAGCAGCATGACACCCCGGCAATGCTCGCCTGGAATACGCCCGAGGACATCTGTGAGGAGTAAGGTTGTCATACAAACGGACCTCATTTACTTCATCCAAGAAAACGAGGCTTTGGTTAATGAACTAATAGTTTGTACTTTTGACCATTTTCTGCACTGGTCTACAAAATGGATCGTTGCTCACAGTAACAATCCCTTGATTGTATGATCCAGATTTGATCATTTACAGGCTGATACCATAGAGCAAGAATATTGTTGAGTTCGGCATTAAACCACAAACACATTAATGTAAAATAGTATGTTTGATGTTATTTGTATTGGAGATCATGTTTTGGTAGGGCCTCTATTCGATGAATACGTCTTCTTCACTTTGCAATTGTAGTATATTTATAAACACATGGTGTTAAACAACGCAACTATTGATTTATGTATCACGTTTTGAGTAAATGAGTGAAGAGAAAAGCTTAATGTTTTCCACTAAGCGTATGAACTCTTCTTCTTCTAGACAATTACCATAACCATGTCATCATTCGCTTATATTGAGCAGACTGCAGGAGAGATGATACACTAGATTACCAAAGATGGCCTTGTTTAGCAAGGTTAGGATCATGAAATGATGTTTTGGTGTGATAGGACAAGGAATAGTTTTTATATTAATGCCACACAGATCCACTTGAGTTCTCCACTATGTTATGGCGCTGCATTCGCTGTGTGGAGTTGCGTCCCTTGTGCACGGCCACGCCGAAAAACCTATGCTTCTGGGTTCAAATCCCTGTCGCCTTGATTATGGTTGTAGGTTTGCCGACACTATGCCCGTGCTCCTGGGTTTCACTAAAGTGGTAAACGTCTATGATCTGCATCACTGACACGCCGTGATATAACTGGAATATTGTTCAAGTCGGCGTTATGTGTATCCCAATGGATAAATGATTACCGGAACACTGACCGAAATATCTCATGTGGTTGTTATTGTTGACATATTATGTTGTTGAAGTAAATGTGACATAAGCATATATGTGCTATGTTTTATTGTAACGTGGGAGTGCTGGTTTGGACGGCTCATTTACCAAACGGACCATTTGGGATGTAGTTTTGGCATCTTCCTTCATGAAGGATCTTGTGATCAGCAACTGTGATTGATAGAAACAGCGTAATTGTAATGACTACATAAGTAATTATGCAATATAGATAACTGTTAAATGAATGGGAGTGTGTGCTGGAATCTGTGTGTGCTGGATACCTCACAAATACATTATTAAGTTTCATTAGTATTATCAGAAGTTGCTGTGGAAAAATAACTGATAACGTTTGAGTTTTACGATGTCAATACACATTTTGTGTGCTCTGATTTCTTGGTGTTATTGATTTGATGTCCGTACATTTTAATATTTGAAACCTGGTGCTTACGTTCCAAAGTAAATTTCCCGGTACCCAATACAAATCTGAACAAAACCGATTATGTCAATCAAGTAAGAGATTGTATTTGGTTGTATTTGGTAAATGGACACTATAGCATACCTTTTAAAATGTCAATACCGTCAATCATTTCTACAACGTTTGATTGTGAAATTTGATGTGCATTATGTGGAATTTGTTACAAAATATGTCATGTACTTTCGTTTTGGTGTCCCACTGTGATCTTTGTCCTTTACATGTGCACATTAATCTGGCTACCCTCTGCTTTCGTTTGACTATTTGTATTTGTTGGGAAATATACTTTTGACTCCCTCTCCATTCATGGTCTTGGGCTTTGAGTTTGGGAGCCTTTGGACTTTATTGTTAAGGTTTTGATCTATAATGTTTCTCATATCTAAAACATCAGGAGAGCTTCACAGTCTTGTGACTCAATTGTTTTTCTTTGCTTTGTGTCATAGTGTCCCCAATTACGTACGAAGGATTGGTCACTGGTCATAACATGGTTTGGTCAGCAAATTTGCAGAAAGCAATCGATAAACATAGCTCCTTGTTTTGAGTACCTGCTTTAAGCTGACAATTGCCGATCCAGCCTTATTCAGTGTTTATATACACCCACTCTTTACCTTTGATATTCAGATTGGGCTTGGCAATGATGAAGTCGAGGTATCTGCAGAAAAAGCATACGTTGCTGTACGAGCCGTCACTGGTGCAGATGGGTTCGGAGGTGGAGGGACACAGGTTGCTGCTCCCCAGAGGGCCTCCCAGAGCCAGGTCCGTTGTGTTGAAGGCATATTTCTCACAGTCAGGCTGCAATAGCGACACAATACCAAGTTAATCCCCATCGGGATTCCGGGTTAGATTTTGTCCTAGACAACCACTGCAGGTTGGGAGAAGTGACTTAATGGATCGGTTTGTCAGGAACTGGTGACTTAGTTGAGTGCATGTCATCGTATTCCGACGGCTTGGATCGTTGCTCATAATGCCATACCGGTTTCTCTGGTCCAGATTTGATTATTTCGCTGTCATTTAACTGGAATATTGCTGAGTGAAGTGTTAATCAACAAACTACATACAATCACTACCAACAGCATTATACTTGATATTGTTTATTTGTCTCTGACTTCATGTATTTCACTGACCAGTGGGATGTTAACATGTCATTGTGACAACACTGGCTAAGGTTGCATATAATTAATAAGGTAACACCTGTTTATTTTTATGCCTTTTTGAATGCAGGACTTTGGTATTTCCACCGACAGATTTATCAACTTCCATCATCATTCCTTCCATCATAGATCAGTTCATCTTTATAGTCTTACACAAATAATCCGCAAAATATGAGTGGAGTGGAGTGAGTATGGTTTTACGCTGCTTTTAGCAATATTCCAGCAATATCACGGCGAGGGACACCAGAAATGGGCTTTACACATTGTACCCATGTCGGGAATCGAACCTGGGTCTTCGGCGTGACGAGCGAACGCTTTAACCACTAGGGTACCCGACCGCCCCCGCAAAATATGAATTTTAGAGACGTACTTATATAAAGTGAAAACCGCTTACCCTCTCTTAGAATGCTTTGTCAGATTAAGTCACTTAGTTCACCAATGTCTGTAGTCTGGATAGGTTAGAATAGGTATCCAGCAACTCGGTGAATTGGTTGGTTTCGTGTCATCTTACCCTGACGATATGGATCGTTGCTAATATCAATCACTGAATTGTCTTGTCCAGACTTCAGGCCGCCGTGATATAGTTAAACAACAATCAAACAAACTGTTTGGTTTGCCTGCTCCAGACTTGATGAGCAGGATTCAGTTTGCAGGTCGCTTTCATGCCATTGGAGTACTCGATCCTTCAGCATCTTCCCTATCTTCTCTATGCATATACAATGTAGGAAAACATATTTTCGCAGCACTCACCTCTACGGGGGTAATGCAGGTATTGTTGTATGACACAACGAACAGGGAGGTGCCATTTTTGACAGCAGCACAATAAGCCAGGCTGAAGCGACATTTGTTTTCTGGAGACAAAAAAAATATTGTAGGAATATTGATACCGCATTGTTGTATAAAACACTGACTTGGAATTAAGCGTCCTAGAATTGACTTATCACATGATAGCATGATGTATCCAAGGAGTGAGTGTGGGATTTGTAATTGACCATCGTTTTGGAGAGATAAGGGACATAATAGTCTTAAAGAGGTAGTGTTTGTGAGACGGAACCGACCATTTGATATCCCCCCCCCCCCCCCCCGATCTCCCCTGAATATAACACAAATGGGTATAGTATCTAATCCCAAGACGAACTGCCATGACTATCAAAGGGACACATTTTTGCCTCGGTATCACGTAGATCACGTATACCGTGTTCCGATAGTTTCAGTGAGTTTTTAGCATGTACCAGCATATATCATGTTAAGGGACGTCAGAAATGCGCGCCAAACGTTGTAACCATGTGGGGAATCGAACCGGGGCTTCTGCTTGGCGAGCGAACTCTTGAACCACCAAACTGACAAAGTTTCAAGGAATGGAACATTGAGAAAGCTTGACATCCCCACCGTACACGACGCCGTCCGAGGCACAGATGGGGTTCCTCAACTCCTGCTCATCACAGATCATGTCACATCCGGTCGTACCGCCTAACAGAGAGTTGCATCTGCCGCTGTAACTCAAGTAGACACCAGTACGCCCTTGGAGCATCAACTGGCAAGAAGCGATACCCATCTCACAGTCGTTGGCTGTAACAGAACATGAAAAGGTCGCAACACAAAGGCGACTTAACAACTGTCTTGTCATCACCATCTGATGTAGTCTAAATGCATATAATATACAGTAAACTACGGTTATAACGAACACGCTTATAACGAACTGACGGATATAACGAACTTACCTTTTTGGTCCCGACTATTTGCTGTTGTTATACTGTATATATGCTTATAACGAACTACGGTTATAACGAACTAAAATTAGTTGTCCATTTGAGTTCGTTATAACCGTACTTTACTGTATATGCAAACAGAGTTCTTCAAATGTCTTAAGAACTCATTTAGAGCTTATGAAAGCCATAGTGACTTCACTTATTTCAAATTGGACCGCCTCCGTGGCCTAATGGTAGAGCGTCCGCCCGGAGAGCGGAAGGTCCGGGGTTCGATCCCCAGCCGCGTCATACCAAAAGACGTTAGAAGATGGTACTTGTTGTTACGCTGTCTGGCGCTCGGCATTAAGGGGCTAAAACAAGGACTGGTCGGCTCGGAGTCAGTATACTGTGTCTGAATTGGATATTCGTGTTAAACTGCGGCATGGTATCTCAGTGTGCTAGCACTTTAAATCGGCATCAGTCCGGACTAGTACAAGCAGCCACACACACACATACACGTGCATGCACGTCGCTATATAAGTGCTATAATCTTGGACGCGACGTTAAACCCCATTTCACCTCACCTCAAATTGGAATTAGCGGATGTAAGTTCTAAATGTTGAAAACGCTGAGCTTGATGTTACATGCTCTATTGGAAAAATTCAATGTATTCCGTTAACTAAATGTGTGCATTGCACTGCGTTAAGAGTGAGTGAATATTGAGTAGCACCACATCATCAAAGTTGCAGCTATTCGCGACAACCTCGTAAGGATGGTGCTTGAAATGTACACATTCAACGACACTGATCTTGCAACTTTGATCTTGGAGGATATACATGTAATGCCGTTTGCAAGTATTCTGTGATAATGCTTACTGTAAGTGATGCCATTAGAGCCACACACAGGTTGGTTCGCAGAATGGCAACTCGTCGGACAGGAACCGGACGGGGCTCCAAGAGCACCTAGAAGAGGAGACAGTCAGTGACTTGTCAAATGAGCATTTCATCACAAACACAGGTGGCCATCCCCGGAAGTTGGTATGTATGGACTACCGTTTTCTCTCTGGACAGTAAAACATGTGATTTCACCCGAACACATGGGCAAGTTTGATACAGATATTTTGAACTAAATTTAACTGATATCACAAACCGAATGGCTTCCGGATTATATTATGTTAAATTATTTATATTCAACATTCAATAAGTGTTTAATATCTATTTTTCACTTTTGATGTCATTTGGTGCGATAAAAGATAAGTCGAAAATAAGGTTCTCTGCGGCGTGAAAATGTCATTATTATTTTTTACTAGCGCTCATTTGTGTCAATTTTAGCTTTGTTAGGCTATTGTAGAATGTGTATCAATGTATAACGTTTATGTGATGTATATATTCTGGCATGAACAGCGTGTATCCCCTGTGTCTAGGAGATAGTGTCGTTGCGATAAGCCAATCTGATAATAATAATAATAATAATAATAATAATAATAATAATAATAATAATAATAAAAAAAATAATATTAAAATAAATAAATAAAATAATTAATAATAACAACCCTCGCTCTTCCCTCAACCGCTTATAGTTACCAATTACAATGGGAGGGCGTGGTTTGATTAACGTTGAACCCCCACAGGATCGTATTTGTCTGATTATCCTCCTGTGAAACATGTCAAGATTCATGATGAAAACAAGGTATTTAAACAGTTTTCTTAAACGAGCCAAGGATGTGGAACTTAATCTAAGTGTCAACATTGATTTTGTTGATGGTTCTGTAATGCTGGACGATACGGAAATGAGTGACAACCAAACTCGCAAAACTAAAGTTTGAGCACATCACGCCAGTCCTAAAAGACTTCCACTGGCTGTCAATCCGCCTGCATATTGTGTTCAAACTACTTGAGCTTGTGTTCAAGGGTTTCCACGTCCTGACAACTGTGTACCCCTCAGACCTCATACAGAAACACCAGCCCCAACGATCGCTGAGATCTTGTGGTCAAAACATGGTCATCATTGTGCTATCTTGGCCCAAGCCAGTTGGTGACAGAACATTTCAGACAGCGGGCCCACATCTGTGGAGTAATCTACTTTTGCACATTCGCTCATTTAGGAACTTCCAAACTGAATTCAGGAACTTGCACACTAAAAACACATTTTTTTTAGCAGGCCTACAAATTGTAGAGATTTGATCGATCTGTCTGGCATGACATAACTCAAACGTAAAGCGCCTTTGAGCATTAGTTTACTGGAGTTTAGCGCTAAACACCTGTATACAGTTATAGTTTTATGTCTTCGTATGTAACTGAATGAATGTATAATATCTATATATTTAAAACTGTGCCTCATTTGGTCCCTGTTTGCATAATAAAGTTCAGTTCTGTCAATTTGGATTAATAGGGTTTAGCTATACATGTCCAACTGCGAAAACATTTAACACCTTTCCGTACAGTACAAATTAAAATTGATGAAAGATGAAAGTTTGGAGTCCATTTTCATGCATGATATGTGTCATGTGAGGTTTTACTCCAACAAAATGTTCACCGTTTGAAATATTTACATACCATACAGTTAATTACTGTTATAGGTATACATACCAACTACAAATGTCAGACAAAGTAGACCCAACATGGTTGTCCTTTCCTCGGTGAACTGTATGTTAATAACTGTATCTCTCATACCATTCCAATTTTGATAAGGTTATTTTAAAAAAATCTCACTATGACACACAAAACTTCGAAATATGTCAAGTGTGTATTTAAATAGGACATGCCTGCTTATCCCAATCGAAAAAATGAGTAGTATGTCTATCTATCTATCTATCTATCTATCTATCTATCTATCTATCTATATGAGTAGTATATAACATACAAAATATGAGTTGTATAATTTACTCAATCGGTTTCACGAATGTGATTTTCAAGAGTACAGTTATACCGTTACGCTGTTTTGACGTCGTAGTGCACTCTAACATATTATGACGTCAGAGTGCAATCTAACTTTGTGACGTCAGAATAAGACATTTTCACATTTGTAAAACGGAAATATCATCCAATTTGGTGTTTTATTCTCGGCACATTGATCAATGTGTTGACTGAGTGGGATACACCGGGAAGACAGGGTTCTTATTTGATGTCTGTGGACTCTCGCTCTCAGGGTATCCCTTGTCTGTTCAATGTATCCGGCTTTGCATCCAGCATACTGTATGACATAAAGCACGTTTTTCGAAGCACAATTCATATTGTCACGGATATAGAATTTTTTTCCGTCTTTGAATGTAAAAGGACAACATTGCAAAACATGGGGGCAAGTACCACAGTTAGGTCTGTTACACTTTTGTACTGTTTTACATTGTATATATATGTTTTCAAATTAGAATGGCCAATCCGTGGTAGTTGAGTGTAACATTGATGGTATCTGTACATGTAGGTTCCTGAGAAAACAACATATGTTGGTTATCTGTGTATATTGGCCATTCTAATTTGAAAATGCTTTTAGGTTGTGTCAAATGATGTGGGCGTCTATGACAATTGTTTTTGCCCCCTAATAAACAATACTGGTCACTGTTTTCGTGTGTCGACGGTTCTTGGATAATATGTCGGCGTTTATGTAAGAAAATAGTTTATGAATAAACGACTCGTGGTCGTTGTTTTATTGAACGATAAGCATGAGTCGTTTATTTCTTATTTAATATATCAACATTGCGTAAGCCTCTTCAAGGATCTTATTAAGATGAACACGCTTTATAAAATATTCACCCGTATTTAAATAATGATGACTCCCTGAATACAATACACTCCGACCGTGGCAATGTCTGACAAGTCCATTTATGAACAGGGGGTTAAGATTGGTATTTCCCGAATATCTTAACGTCGATTATTTGTACCTTTTCTCCCAATACCGATTGTCATATCTCGCGAGATCTCGTTGTGTTTATCAGCGTTGCAGAGCTACAACTCACTAGACACTTTCCTCTATAGAATAACGTTGACCAATATTCGTCGTTATCAAATTGCGAGCAAATGTTCGAATCTCCAGAAGTGACGTCATAATAAAACAATATTTTATCGTGAAATAAACCACGCTTCGTTCTTCGTTCTTCTTTGCGATTTATTGCGTAGCTATCTTATATTTCACAATAAACACTTGTCTTGGTTTTGTATATGTGGATGGTTCTTGGTAACAGAAGCGACAGGAACATGTTTATGAATAACTATCAAATAGTGATAATACCAATTGTTTGCGAAAAGGTGAGCGTATCCTGTCCCACTGGTGGCACTCGTCACAAACACATGTAAACGCATGTCAACTGTTCACCTGAAGAAATACTGGAACATATGGTACAAGTACTTGATCAAACAACTTCTGAGCACGAGTTGTTTGACGCCCTTTGAAATCGTGGTAGAAAGAGTATGCTCAATTGTACCTCAAAAGTTGTGAAATGTAGACACCAAGGGCTGGCGCTGCAGGCACAAAGGAAAGTTGACTACAGGAAAGTTGAATCCCTCTTGTCATACAGTCTTGTGAAGAGCGTTTTGTTACTCTGAATCGTTATGCGTGGATCTAGATATGAATCAGATGAAGCGGCCTCACTGGCCTCCTTCATTTCATGTTCAGGTGAGTTAATCAATGAAAGGGAATTGGCTATTTGACCTCTTGACCGGAGTGGAAGGTCCGGGGTTCGATCCCCGGCCGCGCCATACCAAAAGACGTCGAAATATTTTTCCGGATACCTCCAGCAAAGTTATTGGTCTATGGTCTTTGAGGGGTCATTTGTACTGGTATTATTACACCGAATGTCTATTGTTTTGGGTAAATACAAAAAGAAAAAACAAGATTTTATAGGTGTCTCAACATTTCTAGACACTGTAGAAGAGCATACTTATAAAACTTAACTGGTACCCCACTATAACTTGAGCCTTACCAGAGTGCAAACTGGAAATAGCATCCTGGATTTCTGAAAGAGAATTACATCATGTATCTTTATCAAGTTCACTTTCAATGTCACTAGCACTGTTGATCAAATCGTCTCTGATAGATGAAACAAAGTCATTCACTGAAATATAAAAATCAAGTTCAGTTACATTTGGAACTACTGATTAACTGGTTAAAATGTTTCATCCATGCAGATACTGTAATGTTACTGGTACTCAGTGATAGTTTTGATCTTATTGGCGACCAAAACAGTCTACAATAAAATTATTGCTACACTGAAGGGCATTTTCCAGTTTATTACAAACATTTATGCTGAATGAAATTGAAGATTTCTGACAACAAAAGTCCTAATAGTGTTTCCGTGCTTCGATGTAGGCCAGTCGATCACAAGCGTGGTTACTGCCGTGGAATGCACGAAGCAGTTGACGTGCTGTCGGTCGCGCATTAACACATAAACTATCATACCAATCGTCTCCCCTGCCTGCATCCCTCCTCCCAGCACAAGGTTTTCTAAAGATAACAGAACATGATTTTGATGTAGCCTCAAAACAGCCAAAAGCATCTTCCTCATTTCTACTTTCAATGTTAATATAAAAAGTATCAGTTGTCGAGATTTCTATCGAAGTCCAAAAAATAATATAATAAGTTCGCTTATACTAATTCCAGATTTATCTAGGTTGATCAGTCAGGTTCTCATCGTGATTGCCAGCTGTCGTATTACTTATAACAAGAGCGAGTTCGTGAGTTGGGTTTTTAACGCCGCTTTTAACAGTATTCCAGTTATATAACGGCGTGTCAGCTTAATGTGGGAGGAAAGCCCGAAGTGATGTCTCAGACGTTGACCACCTCGGTTAAACTCACGAGCACGGATATGGTGCTGACAAACCTAGAAACATAATCGGGGCAAACCGGGATTCGAACCCACAATCATAGGTTTCTGGTGTGCCCAAGGGACGCAACTCTGCACAGCGAATCGCGGCTCCTTAGACGACTGGGCCACCCGTGCCCCCTGATAACAAGAGAATAGGTGATTGATAAATGGGTACATTCAACCTCGCAGGATATATCAAACTGTGTAGACATAGGAAAACAATTAGGATCACAATATACATAGTCTACTACACTCTGGTTATCATTGGCTAAAGTGATTTTCCCGACACCACTCACACTACACAATCTACAGTTACATATACGCAGTCCAAAAGATTACAAAACGACAACAGAAAATGACCCATCTTGTTGTCTTGTGATTGCCTCTTTAAACACTCGACTCATGTCGTCATCGACAATAGTTCATGTCGTCATCGACAGGAAGATACGTCTGATCATCGTTGTCGATGAAATTGCCGGCGAACCATCCACAAATATCATCAGTAGCGATGTAAACAAACAAAGCTTCAGATCGGTCCTAGTCCATGCCGACACGTGCAGCACGTGCATGTGCATGACGGCTCGTAGTTGTGCTCTCTTCAACATGAACGACAAGAAAGTTGTATGAACACACAATGCCATTTAGAAAGTCGTCAATTGTAACAAATGTTATATTTGGGATAGCACTTTCTGAGTAAAGTACAGATTCTCTTACTTTTTGGGGTTGAGTCAGAGTGAGGCACCAAATTGCCTGCACACAAAGTCGTATGGCAATAGTTCATAATAAACACTAGGTCGGCGTTTCTTTGAGGAAAACAATGGTTCTTATGTCGGATTGCATATATGGCAATGGTTCTTGGTATATAAAATCAACAAAACAATTTCCATAATCCATTAGCTGTCCTCTCACATCAAGCTGACACGTCGTGATATAACTGGAATATTTTTCAAAGCGGCGTAAAAACCAACTTACTTACTCATTTCAAGTGTCACTTTTCTTGCCGTATGTTGCACAGTGAAAAAAGCATGACGACGAAACTACCACAACCTCTACTGACTTTTAGAGCTATTTTAACGTACTCTTTGTAGGAGCTGGACTTTAAAATACGTTCTTCAGAGATAAACGTTACTAATATAAGAAAGGATTGATTGATTTAACCATTTCGATCTTTGATAGTAAATTTGATGAAATAATAATGAAGGCAACTGATCGAAACTGATAAAAAAAATAAAATGAAATGGAAATATAAATCTCAGAATGCTAACTTTTACTTGAGGACGAGCATATATCTTTGTAATCTGTTAGGCGTATGTGAAATAACAGATAAAAACAACACATATCCATCATTCAACAACTATATATGCTGCCAGGCAAAACATAGTATACATTTGAAAATTGCATTTGACCCAAAAAATACAAGCGTTATGAAAACGTTACTGGGCTGAAAACAGTCGCGGAAACACTGAAAACCTAAAGTCGTAAACACAGTTATTGTGCCCGTATCAAACAAGTCACCATCGAAGAATTTCTTGCTTGTTTCATTTTAACCACACTCAAACATGGGTGTATACTTTCTGTTTCCCGGCAGTTTAGACGACACGTATATGACACTTAACCGATTACACTGTCCCGTTATCATTTTTACATAGATATATTCAAATTAATAGCTTGGTATGCTGAGTTTTATGATTCTATATTCTTATACCATTTCTTTATTTAGTATAAACGTGCTTGGAACCGACATTCAAGTTAAATATATAAGCGGTGATGTCTACATATCGATTTGGGGCTACTTACAGTTATAGAATGGACCCACGTCCTAAACTGTTATAACAGTATTACATTATCAACCAGCATCGCGACCGCCTTT